TCGTTAAAAGAAGGCGAAGATGCATTAAGACAGTCTTTATCGTTTCTTGAACAACAGGATAACGATAACATTAATATCCATGTAGATGATTTATCAGTCGTTCTCGACTAATTAGTCAAGTTTCATATCGTAAATACAGTTATCTTTTTCGATAAATATCCACACTGATGGCCTCGGAAAGTTGGTGCCCGAATTAAAGGCAGTTGACTGTACTCGTATCAAAGTATTGGTCTTCCGTTTACGCGTGATGTTCGTTTTTTCTTTCAAAACTTCCCTGATACGTTTAGCGGTGTCCTCCATTTTATTGTTGAATGCGAAACACTTTAATGCCGTCCTCGACAAGATACAGGTCGTCCTCGCCGCTCGGCAAATCGATTTCGTAACATTCCGATGAGTGTAGTAAGATTAGACTGCTTATCTGCCCTGTGCAATGTGCACGAGCAACCCGTCCTCGGTATGACGGTAATCTGCTGCCTTTACATGTTGCAACCACCTCAAACTAAGATCGCGAACGAGGGTTGACGTGTAGACGGAGTAGGTCATGCCATACACCTTCAATCGAAACCCTGTAATGTCCATAAAACATCATGGCATTCTATGTATAGTCGAGTCTCCTTAATGTACCACTCGATGTTTAAATTTTATTGGTTGACATGCATGACTTTATGCGGAATTTCCTTAAACACACATTTGTAGAATTTAAGAAACGAAATAATAATCTCCCGTTTTACAATAATATGTTGTCGAAGATTTAAATATATAGAGAGTATTTCTGCTTAATTTTGAAAAGAGCGATTAATTTTCCGTGTTCTAAGTATGGCTAGCTTTGTAATTCAATATATCACTCGAGGACAAAATCGACATTATTAAAAGAAAAGAAGCTAATGCGTGGTGAACTCTCCCTAAGTGCACCCTCCCTAAATGCACACACTATATAAACTCTCCATAAATGGTTCAGTCCCAGCTTATAAGAACATTATGTGCACTTAGGGAGAGTTCACTGTATTAGCCAATAAAATTTCGTGTGTTATTTAATTAACCATTTTACTATTATTATTATATCCCTGCCTCAAGTGGGGGATACGATTGCACATACTGACCTTTAATTTTGAAAATCTCTATCGTCCATACCATACGTACTAGGTAAGTCGACAGTGATTTTTGTACCGTAGCTAATTGATTGTATTTTTCGGGGGAAAAAAATAGTGTGGAACTTAAATTATCTACTGTAACAAGGGAGTAGTCCGATGAAGTGGCGTATTATCGTGCCAATAATTTGACGCTGAGCTTCAATGGCGAAAACAGAATGCGACAATATTAACCGGGATTAATATTAATGTAAGGATCACAAACAAAAGCGCTTTGCTTTAAATTATTATATGCTTGATTTATTATTTATACGTCTTGGAAAATCTTCCAAAGGATATACGCGCTTGACATAATCGGAAAGGGCATAGATCACAACATAAATGCCAAACAATATTACTAAATATTATAGATTATGTTCTCTGTCGTTTATTAAACCGAAGAATTACATTAAGTGTTCTAATTCCCACATCAAAAAAGTCAAAACTATATATCTCTGTTACTATCTCAAATTAGTCCGTCAAACTTCAATAAAGACTTCAACAGCCTTCTTCGCTGGCTTGCCCTTATTAAGTAGAAACAGGTAAACTCTACCGGGGGGCAAGACATTTGCATTTGGCGGCATTTGAACTTCCACATTAAATGTATTTCCTGTCTGCAGTGCACCTGTGACTTTAATTTTTACATATCTCATGCTCATATGCTGCGAATGAGTGGAAAATCCGGGATTTATCAGAGCAGCAGTAAACTTTGGATTACCTGCGCTAGTCGACACTGTTGCGGTCACTATTACTCTCTTGCCATATTTAACTCTAATAGGGGTCTCGCTAATCAATTTTGTCGATCCAGCAACCATGGTGATCTTTGGCTGTGGAACTGTAGTCAACAAGTACGGTGGAGCAAATCTCTCGGCACGGTACTCAGTGCGGAAAACACCATCAGGAAGATAGTCTGAATTTGGATTACTTCCAGAAACAAATACACTTCCGTCAGGGATCAACGTAGCCGAGGAGTGATACATACGTGGTATTGTAGTAGGGAAGAGCTGCGTCCAGGATTTGGCGGCTGGATTATAGAGAACCGGTGTTAATACTGGGTTATCAGCAAGGTGAATTCTTGCTCCGGATCTGCCGATCTTGTCTTTGAGGCAGAGAGGATGAGGGATGAATCATAATAGTTTAAATCGAGTTGAATGAAGAGCAAAAAGGATCAAGTTAGTAATGTGAATTAACAATCCATGATATATCCATTCCACGTAATTATGACTAAATCAACTATCACTATTTGATAGCCCCTTTATTAAAAAATACTCACCGTATCCAGCATGTCCTTTTCCAGCTCCATTAAGCCACAAGACAGTACCATCTGCCAAATAAACAACGTCTGGCATAACTCTTGCGAATCCACCAAAGGTGTCCATTTCCCATGTAGGATTAGGGTCAGCGAGATTAATTCTTCCGCAACTGTTAGCTGCCGGAGAATTATTCGATATTTCATTACTCCCGCCACAAATCATTACTACTGGTGTGTAGCCATTTTTGTAATCCAACGGAAGCAATACGGACGATCCAGTCAATGGGTACGAACGCGGAGGACCGGGTAAGTCGGGAAGCTTTTTAATCTCAGTCTTGGTAATATAATCCCAAAGAACGGCCTTATTATTCGCAAAGAGGAAGAGTGTGTTCTGGGACGCAGGACCGGGCACAACGTGTATTACGGGATAAAGATTATACGGGAAAGTGTCGATAAGGAATTGAATTGGTACCCCTGGTGGAGAAGTGTCTTTTGGATAGAATTCAAAGGTCGGGTTTTGTATGGATACAGTGTTTACACCTGCTCCCTTTGTTGAGCCGCCGAGGATAAATACTCGGCCATCCGGAAGGCTACAAGTTGTAATAGCAGATAAGAAATTAAAGAAATATCATAAATATGCGATACAGGAAAATCTATCTTCCCGAGACTCTCTATTTCAAATTTTCACCCCTCCCTACCCCTTCCTTACACTAATTCTTCTACCTAGATACTTACGAGGCCATACCGTTATACCATCTAGCAGAGTTCAAATAAGTTGGCCACTCGAGCCAATTGCATGTTCCATCCATACATGGTGTGTATTGACGAACCGTTTGGAATCCGTTCGCAGACTTTATGTCACCAGGCTATGGATTGAAGGAAAACGATGAGCGGTTGGCGATATAATTATTTGTGTAATAGGAAATTTCGGAAGGGCGATTAAAGATGTAAAACATTTGTTCATATCCATTGCATAGCCATTTGCATGCAATAAACGCCTACATTCCTTCCTATCCGATCCTGTCTACTTACCGTGTCCTCAGCACCCCCAGTCTCAAGAAGCGTGCCATTTCCGAGGAATGATCCAGCAGAACAGAACGTATTTGTTCTGAGGTCTAGTACCCGGAAGAGGTTTGTGTTGAGGTCGTATTCGACAGAGTGTGCATTCAAGCCGTCTGAAGTAATGGCAAAGGGGTTTTTCTCGGCTAATTATGGTACAAAAAATAACAAAGATTATTAATGTTATGGTTTGTGGATGCGAGAAATGGTCCAATGTGTGTGCTTAGACAGTTGCTACTTTATATGCTCGCCGGCATTGTATCATGCGATGAACATGACTGCCGAACGTGATTATTACATAATATGCTTTCCTCACAACCGCCTTAAAATTTTTTCCTCAACATACCTTTATCAATAATTAAGATCTTATTGGGAGAAGTAAGCACGATATGCATAGCAGCAATGCCGGTATGCCCAATGACCTGCCAGGTGCCTTTTAAGTTGTTGCCGGTTACTGGACCCTTTGGAATTAACGGTTGGCCCGCAGAGGGGGGAGGCGGAGGCGGAGGGGCACTGCCTCCTGGAACAACGCATTGCTTGTTGAAGGAGTATACTGGATCGCATCCAGTTTGACAATGTGCTGGTGTGCTGCCGCACCTGTTTTGTTGGAAAAAAGCAGTGTAAAATGTCAAAAATGTTTGGGCTAATCAGATTACTAATATATTCGGCTCTTAACTAAATCGGGTTAAACTGGTCTCCCAGCACTAAATATTTGTTTTTTCCCTTTCAACTTACCACCCGTAAGACGAACAACAAGGCTCGGTAGGATCTCCACAAGATGCCCCTATATTCTTTCCACAATTCTGCGCAACGGCAGCATCGAGCAGGGCGAACGCGAGGAGGGATAATGACAGTAGCTTGATAGATTTCATTGTGAGACTGTCGGAATTGTATTTAAAAAGTCGAAACGAAGGAATGTGATAAGAGAAAAGGGTGTATGAAGTGTTGATATGTATAGGGTGTATGAAGTGTTGATATGTATAGGGTGTAGGGTGTAGGGTGTAGTGTAGGTATAAGGTGTAAATATGGTAATCTAGAGAGTGTGATTATTGTTAACCTTGTTATAACGAGAATAAGCTTTACACCAGGTAATGATAGAGTTGGATTATACAATTCCTTTATCTATAGAGAACATGTAATAACAACACCCTAAATGTTATTATTGTTAATAATTATCCCTCGTCGGCACCTGGCAAGCAATAGTTGGTATTGCCTAGCAAATTATCCAAGCGGCCTTTCGTTTTGATAATAAATTTGGACAAGACGAAAATACAAACATTCTGGTGAAGGGATTATATGTGTAAATTGAATCGTTTGCACAAAGCACGAATCTTTTTAACGTGGTTATTAATAGAAAGAAATATGCAAGAAAATCTCCGAGCGATGAAAAAGGAAGGCAAGACAACCATTTTTAAGTGATACATTTACTTATTAGGAATATATTGAAGTTGCATAAGAATAGCACTGGTTCAAATTATTAATCCCTACAGATTATGAACAAACTGTCTCTACAACGTTGTGTACGAAGGACATATTTAGCTCATCTTCACGAATATACCACAGTGCTCGTTACTGGTCATGAATTTGGAGTTTTAGAGCTTATTATTATATGTATCATAGCACGTTTTATTCATCAGTCAAACTTGGGCAGACTATATCTTACCATTTATGGACTTCACTCGCGTTCGACTTTCGTGCTTGCAGTAATCCTATTTATCAACTTGCTGTTTCATAATAATAATACTGTACGATAAACTTTTCTCTTAGAGGTCAGCTTAAAAGAGCACCTTTATTTGAATGGGCCATTGCTCTCGGGCTTCCAAAATAAGCATTTGGCATCGTGCTTTTCCATTTCAGATCTCTTCGAGTGCTAAAAACGCATATTTTCTTGTACAATTATCTATTGCCTTCTCTAATCCAGCACGTCGAGGTGTTGTAACGCACCTGTTTGTTAGTTTACGCAAAGAGCCAAGTCATTTGCATAATGTCTTACGATTATTATTATTATTAATTACACAGATTGCATATAACAAACACTATTGTTCGGTGTTCCCCATATATAATAATAAACATTATTATTGTAATAGCAAGTTTCAACAAGCTTCTGTTTCGAGAAGCATGAAGTTCTTCAGCTGCTGGAAGATAGGACAATGGTATGCAGAAAAAAAACGCTAAATCGCCAAGAATTTGATATCTTAGATCCGGTACAACTATAATAATAATGTCGTGCCAATGTTACATCTACAAAATAGAAAATTCCCAGTAAAGCGGAGTGGATTAGATAATTGTTGGTGGTTTGTGTGACAAAAACTGTGCATTATACAGTAGAGAGTTTCTATATACCGTAGTCGCTCTCACGCATTGGCGGGCATGAAAATTCTACTCGCTCAAGGCTTTAACTCGGGCGCATATCAACAGTACTTATCGCTAAGCAAAGAGATATCCGCTATAGCAATGGGTCACTATAATTGTGTATTGCGGATTAAGCAATTACTCCTGCATAAAGATTCATCCACGGTATCCGGCCAAAAAAGAAGGTTCCTACTAATTACTTTACAGAATTTATCCATAAACGACTTTTATTTCATCAGTATTCAATAAAGTTAAATTTGATGACTTGACAAGTAAAAACCCGTCGCAGGGAAAAGGAAACTTGCCGCATGTTACTATGTTACTTATCACGTTAATCCGTGTCTTCTAGGCGTATATATTAGTAAATATAAACAGATCAATTATATTGCGCATAGCGATGCACAACATACCCACTTGCCATGCTGACGTCGAGTGGGTATGTGATATTCCAACAGTTTACGCGGACGGAAACTTTGGTTTGATTATTATGATAGTAGGTTTGGCTAGTTATCGGTAGAGAATTCTTTATGCTTGAGCATAAGACCACGATGGCTCACTAAAGGTTGCCATGCGGACTTTTTTGAGTTTGCTGACGTGGTCCACCCAGGAATCAAAGTTTGGATTATCATTGTTGTACCTCAGTTGGGGACCTGTCTCAATTCTGGACCAGAACAACTGAGTGACTGGGTTCTGAACTGAGGCAGGTCCCCAACTGAGGTACAACAAATACACGTAAAATGCCAAGTTTTGTAAACAATCTACAACGCGTTTTTATAAAATAAATAGTGCCTTCTAACCCATTTGTAAACAGATTCAACAGATTTTATCTTGTATTATTCCTGGAAAAAATATTACTGAAATGCCATTATCGATTCAAGAAAGACAACGCCAAGTCATACATTTTTAGACACAGGGCATAGCCAATGCGAAAGAAATACAAAAATTAACTAATATTACCATTACCATTATTTACAGAAATTTTAAAAAATTAAATACAAAAGGAAAATATGACAGAAAAGAGAAAGTGGACATCCTCGAAAGCAATGCGGGCAATATCTGCGTCGTGTCTACCCGAACATTGGCAAATAAGTTACTAGTAAATGACACAAATGTATCACATATGACAATATCGCGTCATTTGGCTAAGTTAGATTATGAAAACAGACTTCTCTTAGCTACACGCACTATGATTCCTTAATTAATTCATCAAACTCCATGAGAAGCAGATGTGAGCAAATAAAGTATAAATACAGCTACTTTCAAGCTTTAACACACAATTTCTGTTTGCTACATTTATATACCCGCTCTCTCGAGCAATGAGTAATAAAAAAATTTGTTACTCGCTGTATATGATTTGGTTTGTGGCTTGAGGTGGACATATTCACGTAACGTGTTAATTTATATGAATTTAGTTTCGATGAATTGCTTCTTGTTGGGAAAGAAACAATTGCTACTGTTTTCTACGGCAATAATAGAGTTTAAATCTGAAACTCAAGTTTGCGTTTGCAATTTTATTTAAATACGCTTTTCAATTATCTGAAGTTATTCATGCTCAGGGTTTGAAGCATCATAAGTCACGTAAACAAACAGATTAGTTTACGGCAAGTTCTATTCTAAGTCACATATTTCATCTTATTTACCATTGATTTCCATTATTTCATTTATATTTCACATGTAAATAAGGAAGTTTTACAATAGAATTCTTTTATCGTTACTATGGACCAGCGGTTTGCTAACTTTATTTCTCCAGCCTAGAAATGTTGTCCTTTTAAAGCTTAGTTTACGGCTTCTTTTTTCTTTAATAGGATATAATGCGATCAAAATCATTTGACAACGGCGTGGTGTTTACTTGCCTGCCTCGCGCAGGCTTTACACTGAATAGCTGAGGGTTTGTCATTGTCGGTCCAACTATGCGGGAGTAAACTATCAATTTATTGCGAATGAACTGCCCTCATAATTAACTAATGCCAAACTATTTTTTGGTTAGCTGCTCCATGATGATTATCAAAAACGCTCGCACTTAATCTGGGAGTAGTTCTAATAAGTTCTATACGTTTCACGTGTTGTAGGTGAAAACGTAATTTCCTCATTCAGTTTATAAGAGTGAATCAAGCAGTATTAAACATTCGAGAGTTGATAATACGTCTCTCAGAAGAGTCTATATTGCATACTTTCCCAGGACATGCAATATCTATGAACATTGACAGATATTAGGAATCCTGTTCATCCATTGTCATGGCAAGTCTGCTAGCAGCCTATCTTCCGTTTTGCTTGATTCAATAAAGTATTCTGTCAACTTTCTCAACGTTAACCCTTACTGTAATGATCAAATTCTCTATTAAACTGACCATATTTCAAGTAAAAGTCATTAATATTAATGGATGTTTGACACATCCAGCAATTACAACAACTATTTTCAAGACGGGGATATCGAAAAGATGCACGCATTAAAATCTTTGCGATTCTGTCCTTTTGTTTTCACCACCGATGCCCACCGTTAAAATTGTCGTTATCTGCATCATGGTCAGTTGTATTATCATTAATTCGGTTATTACTACATCATCAAACAGCAATAACTACGGAAGGAAATTATAAACCTCTGTTTTCTTTTCCATATGCCATACTCACGAGGCAGGTAAAGCCCAATACAAGTTATTGATCTGATAGTCATCATCGTTTTATACTTGCGTATGACATTGGAAGAGGATCTTATCCAAGAACAGAATAGTTTATTTTGAAATCGACGTTGCGTTTTCCTGTTGAACAAAGTCTTTGCTATTACAAGGCGTTGGTATTTTATTTAAGACTACATCACCGACAGGGTACCATGAAGACAGACTCCAAAGCTTTTTCCCTTCTCTTTTGAATACTTTTACTTAACGAGACCAAGAATAGATTCTTATTTATTAACTAGGAGTGTGATAGCATCTAAACTAGATATCGTCCTCTTCCTCTGTAATATAAATGATTTAAAAATTAGTATATTATGATACGACGAATACTTAGAGACAATAGAAGATGATATTAACCTGGAAGCGGTTGAGCAGCCGCAACTTCTAATTCTTTACTGTATTGTTCCATCAGATTATTATCTACTACAACTTCTGGTGGGGCAAGAGCGGGAGACGCAACAAATTCCAGGTTGGGATTACTGGATAGAAAAAGTGCGAGTTAGAGAAGAAGAATGAGAAAGTCCATGGATGGTTATTCACCGTTTGCCTGGATGTAGCCAAACAGTCTTCTGCCTTACCCAATCAATTTACGGGCTAACCATAAAAATGGTTTCTCAAAATTGTAATTACTCTTGGCGGAGATATCGTAATATTGGAGGTTTTTCTTTCTGTGGAATGTGATAGTTTTCGCTTTCACTTTACGCTCCTAAGGAACATTAAAAATAAGACATTTCAGATTAAGATACATCGATATTTGATACCTTTTCGATAATTGACAGCTGATAGCAATAATAAACATAATCGGTATTATGAACCTTAACACGCAATTCTTGGTGTTAAGATGCAGATCATAAAGTCCATAGAGGAAAATTTATGGAAAATGTGTAATAACAGCGGACAATAACCCAGATCCTTCGACTTCCAACTCAATGGTTGAGGAAAAAGGCGAATTAGCAATCCTCTAACCCAAAAAAATCCCTTTGTACTTACCTTGATATCAACTTTGTTGCCGCAAAGGACAATGGGAATATTTTCACATACACGAACTAAGTCACGATGCCAATTGGGCACATTCTTATACGTGATTCGTGATGTCACATCAAACATGATAACTGCACATTGTCCTTGGATATAGTAACCGTCTCTAAGACCACCAAACTTCTCCTGGCCAGCGGTGTCCCATGTGTTGAAGCAGATGGGTCCGAAATTTGTGTGGAAGGTTAAAGGGTGGACTTCGACACCGAGAGTAGCTGATAAATGGGATAAATGATGTGTGAGTAAGCCGTAAATGGATGACATTTTTAGTTAAAGGATAAACTCAAAAATATACATGCGTTGAGATGAATGAACGAAACGAGAATTATGAACAGCCCATCTATGCTAACTCGTGGTAATAACGCTCCAGATACAATCCTTAGCAGTAAGATTCTGTTGTTACTTACCAATATACTTCTTCTCAAACTCTCCCGTTAAGTGACGTTTAACGAAAGTAGTCTTACCAGTGCCACCATCACCAACTATTAACGACGTGTAAATTAGTAAATATTTAAAGATAAAACCTCAGATCTTCCATGGAATACTGTCCATGTACTACAAGGAAACAGAAAGACGCGACATATTACACACCAAGTACAAGTTTGAATGTGGGTACTTCCTGTGTCATTGCAGAGTTCTGTATGAGTCTATCAGCACAAAATTCAAATGTAGTTAGTTCACGAGCTATGCTTCGATAGGATATCGATGTATCTTCGGAAGCTTTCTTCCTTTGCACCGATGAAATCACAAAGGTGAACCGTTGGATGAATGGAAGAATGCATGGATGCCTGCGTACCACTTACTGAGAGGGATAAAAGTTAGAGGGGAAAGTTACTACGCCAGCATGTTCGAAGGATGATGATATTGTTGATATTGTGACGTCATCAAAAGGAGGCGTAATAGTAATACAAAGGCACAGTTTTCTGATTACATCAACCCCTAACTACCTGGAGTAAGCATATTAGTATCCCATTCATTTGCAATAGTAATAGTACGACTTCTTTCATTGTAATCAACGTAGTAATAGGTTTTTGGGAACAAAGTTGGCCAGCACAGGTCTCCTAGATTGCTATCTAAAACAAATTAGTAAAATATGAATTTTAAAAAATAGTGTTCATTTGGAAATACATCTTTTATTAACAGCCAAGTCAAGTCTTGGGGCCATTAAGAGAGTGTAATTGTCTGTGAAACAGAATCAATGGCATTGTATCCGAGTTAATTTCAACGCTTAGAGTTTAATTTTTATTCAAGAACATTTATGTATCTTATTATTTCATAAACTACGTGATTTACATTCAACGTGAATTGCTGCTAGTTATCGTTATATGCATTTTTTTATTAAAGGAACTCTCGATTGACATGTATGGGGGAGGGACTTGAGACAATTCCTCAACATCGTAATACTTTAAGTCCGTAGTAAGAGAAAATTATAAACGTAACATAATAACGTGTAAATGTAAAGGGTGAACTGATCACGAGAGCTTCTTAATTCTCACATGAAAATATCCTTTGCAACAAAAATAGCTCAAAAGTATAAGCATTTAATATAATATACTGTGTCGCCAACCGTATTTTGAGAACAAAATTATAATACCATTCTACCGCGCAACACGACAATAAGCACCGGGTGGAGACATTCCAATGTCTTACTTTTACTTCTAATAAAGTCACGGACAGGAAACAGACCTAGATTTCACCGCTATCGGACTCCAAATCATGGTACGAGACAAATGTCACCGTTATAGAACTGGGACCTACATAGTCATTATTTCTAACATGATGTCCGCATACATAACACGTCGTTTCTAAAACGGTAAGTATAGCGTTGTAAATGAAACCAGTTCCCTGCATTCAGCCGAAGCCAAAGTGTTCAAGTAAGAAACCACCACCCAATACATTCTGATATAATAGAACTTGAGCTAGATGCAACTTTCTCAATCAATTATAAATTGTATTGGATATTCTTTGGATTTTGTATCAACTACTTTTGCTCTCACTCCAAATATGGTGACCGTTTCCAATGTTCATAAATGACTTGTGCATTAATCTGAAAACCAAATATCAAGCCTGACATTTTTAGCATGCCGAGAGAATTATGTCACTGTCCTGTTAATTCCGAAAGGTGTAATGTCATTTGCACGTGAAATTTAAAAATACTACAGAAAATGTCCTCAACTAAAAAAAAGCCATCCGGTGAAACGCCTTTTCCCCGCCGGATCTGGTCTTGAGCAATGGTAAAATCTAAGCCCCATTACGAGATGCAGTCAAAAATATTGAGCATGTCGTCATCTCAAATCTCACCGAAAAGGTAGGACGATATTGGCAAAAGTAGAGCCGGTCATCCGCGATACAAATATACCAAGCCAGCCATTAGACATAGTTGCATTATTTCCTGTTTGTCTTTTGCAGAACTTAACTTTTATTGCTGTCTGAAGGTGTCCCACACTGTAACATCTGGTTATCCTGTTGCTATTATATGAACAATAAACGAGTTAGCCGCGTTTTATCCTCAATAATTAAAAGGTATTCACGGATTCTCAAAATTTCATCGTGACTTTTTATTCGCTCATATGTCCTTGTAGAGCGATTGGCTTTCCAATCATTATAAAAATGTTGACGTGTCAATTAAGGGATGTTTAACAACAAAATTTTGAGAATCAGCATATCAATATTGTAAGTAGATGCATCACGGACATACCTTTTGCTTTTCTTCCCAAGCCTTTATTTCTACTAGCTCTTCAGTCCAGGGGTAGTTCGGCATATATTTCACATTCTCCGTGATCATTACCAAATAATCCTTATCATCCAGACTCGAACACGTCTCCCACATCTCATCGAATTCTTTTTCAACCTGATCAGTGCCAATTCTCACCCACATGTCCTCCCTATGGCGCTTACTCTTTAGTAATGCAAAAACGTAATAACCACTATGTAATAGGGTATATATAATCGCAAAACAAGAGCATTGAAAAGCAGTGTTGTGGCTTACCCTCTCCCTATCATCTTCTATCCGTCTTAACATGTCAGTACGACTCAATTCCTCCAATTCTTCTTCCTCGTCTCTAATTTATTATAAATGCTCGTCAACCTAGTTAACTTTGATGTGAATTGCAATCGATGAGTGATTATACTGTTTTTGTGGACTCACGCTATTTGGCGATTCTTCAACCAGAGTAAAGAGCCTTCTATAGGCTGCAAAGCAAGAATTTCTTTGCTTTTCCAACTCGTTAATACCTAATTAATTATGGAAAAGCTTTTTAATAGATAGTTGATATGCAATTTTCGTATACAGACCATGAGCATCTAAACCAGCAACATCGTCTATTGTAGACATGATAACTCACAATGAACATTCATCTGTATTTGTACAAGACAATTCCCTCACATTTTCGTACCTTATACGCGCTGTGAGAATTCATTTCGCCTTGACTATTCTCTGGGGCGATCATTTGTATTATATTCACCAAATTCTTCTCTATAAGCTCTTTATACTCTTGCATATTCATCTGAAAGGCATTCTCACAGAGAGAGTCTAAAAGATATAAGATATTGAGGCGAGAGTACACCGACAACTGATCAGGACCAAAGATCATGTAAGCATGCAGATTAACCATTAATTCATGTCATTGCAAAACCGGTCATGTATTCTACCTCCATCAAAACCTCCATAATACATGCAAACAGGTCTTCATATCGATGTCTATGTCTTAATGCAAACTTTACAGCTTTCTGTATTGAGAGTTGTGAGGCATTTAGCTTCTTTAGCAGGGCCAGAAATGCCATACGTGCTGCAAACGGATCTATTTGACGATGGTGTTCCATCTATGCTATAGAATTGTATTGGGACAGCAACAAAACCAAAATAAATGTAAGCTGGTGTGGCTGATGCTTAGTGGTACGACAATGGCTCGTGCATTTGATCAATTAAAACGAATGCACATATTAATATACTCTTTTATTAAATCCCTGCGTCCTCGCAAAATTTTAAATTTTTATACTAAATAGAAAAAAAGTTGGTTTAATCTGATGTCGTCACAATTAATATCTCTGAAATATCAAATATGAATGCAATGGATTTGTTAAACTATCACGCTCTACTTTGAGTCCGTACTCACAATAGGCATAAAGGGCCATAATGGTCTATGAGGTTTGCTACCTTGACAGCATGGCGGAAAGATAAGCCATTAAATTAATAATGTTAATATTAATGAGTAACCTTTTGTTACTGGTATTAGTATTATTATTAATCCATTGTTGTCTGACATTTTTTATCTTAGATAAATTGCAATAAATATAAATGTGAGTCTCTGTGCTGTATATACAATTAAAACAATAGCGTGGAGAGGGCTAGAAAGTTTCTATATTGATTAAGCCATGACCCGTGTGGATATAAATACAGTGAAATTTTGATATAACGGATGTACCTTCTCTCCCGATAAAACGCTAGCTCGAGTTACTAGTTAGATATAATTTTGTAGGTACCAATTGAAAGCTCGTGTACGCGTCTTTGTTATTTTTACGCCATACAAAATAAGTTATAAATGAAGTAATAGATTGCCCGGATTTTGAATTCATCTCGAACGTCGCTTGCGCAATCGTTATTGAGACAGACAGAAAGGCAGGGTTGACTAGCCTTTCAGGAAGAGGATGACGCCCATCCACCATATTATATGCGCTCAGTTTCTTCTAAACAAAAAAACACTTAGCAGCTTTTACATTTGATACAGTGACATCGTTAGGAATTGACGTCATGGAAAGATTGAAGAGAAGGAAGAAGATGAGAAGGAGCATACGAAGACAGAAGAACGCAGTCACCATGGTACCCTGCCATTAATCTGATACCACCCGGACCTTCACTTATTCGCGGTGGTATATAATTTGCAGCGACTCCACATTTTTTAATACCAACCACAGTCTCTTCCGTGCCAGCGATTCCTCCATAATTCCCTGCTATCTATTGTTTTACAAATAATCACATGATTTGCATTTTTCAATTTTGGCCACACGAATTGAAATTTGTTGGCTTAAGGTGGCATGCACTGTAATAAAGGAACGCAAAACTCCACTGTGTCGATCTTCTATACTGTTAACACGACAATAACACATTACCATAAATTATGCAATCGATTGTCTGACGTCTGCAGATTTTGAGTCATCTGAGTATTTGTTAAACTATGTACGGGGGTGAAATAAACGATGCATAATTTCATTACGACGCGTTTTTGTTTATTATTTTATATACCGATCAACAAAGCAAATGCTATTTATGTAATATATACTGTTTTTCTAAATAAAAATCAATTTGTTTTAGAGGTTTAAAAAAGTGCAATTATTATTATTACCGCATTTTACCGCATAATATGAAGCTTAAAAAAACTTACTCCGGAACAGAAGGGAGGCATTATTGCATGCAATAAACTTGGAGTTACACAAGAAAAATCGCCGAAGTTGTAGAATGTACTCAGTCAGCGGTTTCTCGGTTTTTATCATCAAAAACATTTATCAAAAAACGAACAGGACGTCCACCATGAATTAGAAGAGATGGTACAGAAGAATGGGCAGCGAATCATATCGTAATTCAATTAAATCTATGCCTCGCAGAATTCAAGCTGTGAAGGTGGACATACAAAATGTTGAATTGTACAATTGTAAATAAATATGCCGTTTTTATAAATTATGCATCATTTATTCCACCCCCCCCCTATAAATAAAGATCTGACATGAAACAGCAGAGTAACCATGATCATGATGGAACCATGTTATCGATATATTTACAATTTGTTGCTACTTGTGTTGATTGTCGAGAGCCCTCTATACGATGTTCTTTATGCACCCACGTCAACGATGTGTCTACTTTTAACAATACAACAACTCCTCCATATTAATGGCACAGATGCAGTAGGTTAGTTATATGAAATGTGATTGTCTTTCCTTTACGCAGCAATAAATATATAGTATTTCCATCGTCAATTACTTTATACACAGTGAAAGCAGACTGTTTGGGACCGCGTTTTAACCCGTAATATCGACTTGTGAGTTTTATATCAGATATTATTTAGTAAACAATTGCTGATCAAAGCTTGATCGAATTGTCTATCTACGTTGAAGACAGTCAGATATTAGTTGAAATAATCAAGATCGAAAGGACGGAAAGCGTCTACGACGTCAACGGCAGCATTAATGGTAACTGTCGTTTGTCCGGTAACATCTCAGACAACCGTTTGGATCAATTCATGTGAATCGTTGATACAAACAAGTCAAGAATAGTACTGTATATAGAGTAAATACAGTAAGATGCAAAAGTATCCAATTCGGGACACAAATGATTTGAAAGTTTCCCTGTATATAGTGTATAATAAACCCTGACCACTTGTAAAATTTCAGCTTGATCGGATGTCTCCAGTAAGAATTTACAAACATCCAATATTTGCCTCTAAAACATATAAAAACCCTACATCGCTTATTTCAATATATACTTCAAAAATCCATATCTCCACATGTTTATGGTAAAAACTTTGGTGTTTAGAAATTTGCTGGAGACATCCGATCAAGCTGAAATTTTACAAGCGATCAGGGTTTATTATACCATACATACAGGGAAACTTTCAAATCATTTGTGTCCCGAATTAGAAGTGGGGGGGGATACTTTTGCATCCTACTGTATGTCAGTAACTGAGAATAAGCTCACCGACTAATATTGTGTCGCGCTGTCCCATGAGAGTCGTGGATGCAAGCAAACCATGAATAATTAGTATGTGTGGTAAGCATGTTAGTAACGAGAATGAATACCAGCACCACACTGTAATCACGTGCGGGTGAAAATTTGCTAGCGACGCGATCATGAAGCGTATATAAAACATGCAGTTTATTCACAATTAACTACAGTTTTCACGATGTCTTTTCGACCTCCCCCTCAAGTAGGTAACAAAGATAAAGTTATTGACTGGCTTCGAGAATTTGAGAAAGAATATGGCTACGCAAATGTTGCAGAGAAATGGACAAAGGGCAATATTAAAGCACTTTGGAACCTGGAGAAGGAGGAGCTTAAGAAAAAGCTTGGTAGTGAAGAAGGGAGCCTCGTATATGAGGCAATCCACGGCGAAGGTAAGAATATCTGTGAGTTAAAATGCACTCATTCATATTTCTTTTTTGCGTTCAATTTATTCGATCTCGCCTATTTTGTTTACTCGGACTGCTGTTTTATTCAATTGTTGTGCCAACTATGCATACATTGCGACCAACATAGTTTCTGGTGAGTGATTTTTTAGCACTACCGCACCACCCAATCATTCGCCAATAATACCGAATAGTTACATAATCTTGTGCTTTTCTTTCCTGCTTCTTATCGCCAAAAAAAAACATTTACGTTATCGTAGATCAACCCGTTGCTGGTAAATGATTCGTAATAAGTTTTCAACGCAAGTGAACGTATGCTTTTTCGCCGTTACTTTTTAACGTGTACACTATTTTTCTCGTTATCATTTCTTTCTTTATTATCACTGCTTTTCATTCCTGTTGATCCAGGTAGACCCGCTAAGAAACAAAAATTAGGAAGTAAGTTTTCACCAGAGGAGGTTAGAATAAGCGAGCTGTCGAAATTTTATATGGACTAGGATAATCACTTCTTTAATTTATTCTTTCAGATCCACTGTTTACAAATATATTAGAAGTGGTCCTTAATCTTAGGAAAACACCCCCGGAAAGTTTACAAGATAACATTGAAAGAATGTTGGAGGAACAAAAAAGAGAGCAGGAAGAGTTAACTTCAATTGATACAAATATAATACGGCACGCCGGCAGAAAACCGCTTGCAGTAATTAAGGAACATGTGCTATATGTACGGGAATCTTACAGGGATCTATATCACATAGTTACTAATGAGAATTGTGACCCCAAGTTCCTCATATCTGGCACGTCAGGTGTCGGCAAATCGTGTTTCTTGATTTATTTATTAATCCGGCTCTTGTGCAATAAAACCGATGCCACGGTCATCTTTCAGCCAGTTGGAGGCAGTAGCAGTTTATTATACTGTTTCAAGGATTCTAATCTGTTTGTTGGAGACTTTGAAGAATTTTCGGAGCATCTCTATAACTCCAAAACATGGTACTTGGTAGATGGTTCAGTTCCCGAGGATGTCATAGCAAAAACAGTTGTTTCTGCATCATCAAAAAGTATCAAATACAGAAGATTTCAAGAGTTTATTAAAAATCTTGTAAATAAATTTTGCATGCCACCATGGTCAATAGAAGAGTTGGAAGCCTGCCGATTAAGCATCTTCCCAGTGGTACCACTAGATTTGATGCTTGACCTCAGTGATGAAGCGGGTGGTGTGCCAAGATATGTTCTTCAGATACCAGCATCTATTATTCGTCAGGAAAATCCCAATTTCGAGGATCAACCAGTCGTTCTCAATAATCAGGGTGTGATTAAGAAAAGGTCTTTAGAACGTGTAGAAGAAGCCCTTTCAGAAATTAGTGATTTCAGAAAGCTTATACAGTGCTTCTCTGAAAATGCACAATATGTTGAATTTAGCAGTCATCTTATTCATCAGTGGCCAGACACTTTCTACCGAGAACAATCCCTCTCATGGGCCTCTGGTCGTATTTTTGATAAAATCCAGAAAAAACTGGAGGATAGTAGATGGAGCAATCTATTTCTAAAAATTCAAGATCCTGATGACCCTTCCAGCTCTAGGGGGATTATGTTTGAGTCGCACGTACTCCATCTCTTCAAGCTCGGTGGTCAAAAGTTTGAATCAAGGAGACTTGGAGAAAACGAGGTAAAATCTTGCATAATTATTTTCAATGTATAATTATTGAGAAAAGATTAACTATTACTATGGCCTTTTTCATTATTAGAATGATCCAGTCATTTACGATAAATTAACTATAGCAACAAAACCAACTACAAAGTATATCCGATATGCAAACCAGCTCACAGGGTATAATGAGAAAGACATAATTATCAAACCAACCATAAGAAATTTCAGTGCGGTAGATCTAATTCTTACGCCGAACTGTATCTTTCAAATCACTGTGTCTCCAAAACACCCTGTGAAGCAAAGTGAACTGATCAACATAGTTCAAAATATGCTGGCATATAGGAAGAATCCGAATGCAAAAATCCTTTTATATTTTATTGTGCCGGATGACATATACGATACCTTCAGATACCAACGTTACGTAACACCCAAGAAAAAAATTGGAAATGATCTTGAGGCCTTTCAGGCAGTTAAACGTAAGTCCCCTATCCTCCGTAATGTAGAACAATGGGTCGTAAAAATTAAAATGGCACCTGAAATGACTGTAACGTCTGTGCTGAACAACGCGATGGCAGTGGCAAATTCCTGTTTATAAGATTCTGCAACATCAATTACTTATTTACTTGGGTTCTAAATCGCTTTATTTTTCATATGAATTAAATTATTTCCAATTCATGTTGTTTGCTACATATAGTTTTATATATTACGGACATGTTATTTGTTATTTACTTAAGAAATAGCTTTATTATATTGTATGGAAACTGGTGGCCGCAGAAGAAAAAAAAATCCGGAAATTAAGTCGTTAGTTTTCTACATTGTCCAAAAGCCTTTTTAATTTGGCCAAATGCTCTTTTTGTATAATACCTAAGCGCTTTTTAGTTTTTAATTCTTTTATATTTTTTTTAATCACTTTACTAAAGATAAATAAGGCTTATGATTTATTTTTTTTCGTATTATTGACGATAAAATTCAACGGATGGTGTATACAAGTTAGCTGAATTTGGAAAATGCTGAATGTTAGGCACGCGTAATCTCTACATCCTATATAATAACGTCTGACCTTGCGTATATTTGGTTTTGTAAACCAGAAACAAAGATTACATTGCGAGGAATAAAGCTCAAGTGTTGATTGGTGTTGTTATAGTTGTTATTAGGTATAATCGTATTACTGAGAACGTTGCTGGGATTTCATCGATAATCGTTCGTACAACTGATTAAGCTCTCGACGCTGTAAACTTTAATAAGTCCAGTGTATGCCGAAAGCTAGAGATTACCAGACTGAATTTCTACCATTAGAGACGACATTAGAGATCATAGTGAACGCCAGTTGAATATTTCCAATCCGTAAGTTTATTAGTTGTTTTCCATCGTATTTATTATTCGATCCTATAAGTATTATTCCACCGTAAGAGTTATTCCATTATTCCGTTGGAGTCTTCGACCAAATCCTAAGTGGAAAAGGTGCAGAAACTATTCGAACTTTGATTGTTTATATATCTAAATTGCTACTGCGGTATAGCTAATCTAAAATCTAAATGGTCCATAGCTATTGCTAAAATATCGATTCACGTCACTAAATTTACGTCGGATATTTACAAGTTTGTGTAATACATTTAAGTGATCATCTGACGTACTAATACTAATAATATTAATCGTAAATCGCTATTTAAATGTTATTATTAAATTCGTCGTATAACAGTGTGCATATTGACAATATGGTTCATGGTCGCCAGAGGCGTCAAAAGAGTGTATTAAAATAGTTTTTTCTGTATTTAAATTCACTTTTTTAAATGACGCTTTCTGAAAAACACACTTTTGCGAACCAGCATTCTGATAAAAAAGTACACTTTTTAATACACTTTTCGATCCAGCAGACAAAGAATTAAAATACACTTTTAAATCCGGATCACCTAATTTCATTGTGAACTACGTCAGCAATTACCATACTTGGGAAAATTTGATGATAGTTCTGCAAAAAATTATCGACAAAATGTCTTAGTTGGTCACTGGACATTGGAATTGACTTACCAGTCCTACAGTGCATGACACCTTAAACCAACAAATTTCAATTCGTGTGGCCAAAATTGAAAAAAGCAAATCATGTGATTATTTAACCCGCCATCCAATCATATTTACCGCATTTTTTATTATAAACAAAATCTAATCTCACTTGTGGCACGGTTCTTTTCAGACCATCCCACGTGTAATCACAGTGGTTTCGTGAACTCGTCATCACTAAATTCGTCGGATTCTTCTTTTGAATGGCAAAATTAAGCATGAAATATTTTCTGTATTTATTTTTTCTTTTTTTCTTTACAAACTTAAAATTAATACATGACTAACTTTGTCAGTTATCTAAAAGAAGTTAAAGATCTTTAAACCTCAAGATTTTTTAAATGGCAAAGAAAACTATGAAAATTATCAAGAATCAAAAGAAAAGTGCAATAATTTTGACTGATGCCGAAAATGTGGAATACTTAATACTAGCACACTAAACTCATTACTAAATTCATCTTTGCTGTTGCTAAACTTGTCATCTTTAAATTTATATCTTTACTATTGCTGTTTCCTGGTGTTGATGCTTAGCTTTCTTTTGTTCTTGAAAAAATTTTTTAATTGCAATTTTCTTTTAGATAATCGTACCATGCTTACTGTATAGCGATAGTGGTGAATATGCTCAACACACATATCGTTATCTTTACATCCGACCAATCAGATGCTTCAATTTCTTGTTACACGACTGAATTTTGATCACATGAGACGGCCAAATTCTTACTTTTATTAGTAAAAACGTCAGATTTTAAAATCAAAACTCAACCAATTGACATACAGTTTTCGTAACTTTGTTCTCTTTATTCTTCTGCATCTTTTTACATTAAAAATTGTTTACTAACTGTTTTAATTTTTGTGTGAAAAACTTTAAAGATTGCATATATATTTTGCTGGTTTAAGGTGTCATGCACTGTATATCGAAAATTGTTGACAGATTATAAATTTATTTCGTTCAGTTCCTGGTAAGATTTTTATCGCTGATAAATAAATGCCTTCGATTTCGTTGGGGCATTATTCCTCAATCGATCCCGCGATTGGTTAAAATTGTCATCATGTTGGATCGAATCTTTATCCCGTCTTGGATATTGACTAACTGTGTCATCAATAATAATAGGATCGGTGTTCATTGTCCTTACTCATACTATGTCATTGATAGAATCAGGTCGCGTATATATGTTTATCGTTGACATTTGCTGAATATTTTCAGTTGACAATGGAAGCGCGACATATTTTTTTTTGTTGCTAATGGCAATGCCATTCTCAATGTGCATGTTTAAATTTCAACTAGTAAAACCTGAAACACCTCAATGACGCCTGTTACAGGATCCAGAAGGTACTTGTCATCCCGTTGATAACTGATAATGCCTTTGTAGTCTACATTTATGTATATTGGGATGCTAATATTGCATATGTATTTTTCTCAATTGTCAAAATCATTGATGTTGTTTCGCGCAGTGAGGTGTGTCAACAATCTATGGCAAACGTACTATTTGTTTTTTGCTCACTATCATACAATCGAAATACAGTCTACTCTCTCTATTATCAATATTGGTTTATAGAACGGATGGTCCCCTATAAAAATCCTCAACTTTAATACCCGCTGATTTCACTATCAACATAATCAGATTTTATTTGTATTCAACACTTCTCTGATTGAGACCGAAGAAGAGGTAATAAAGATAAATGTCCATCTATTATAAGGAGTGATCGTCATGCCCAAATTGGGTAAAATCCTCCTAATACTAATTATAATAATTGTGCTTGTTGATCACGCTAATCGAATAATATTAATATGTCTGGGAAGAGAACATATAGAAGACGTACAACGGCCTCCGATGACGAGGATGAAACTAAAGAAAAGTCTCAAGGTCTCACAGAGAACAAGGATGAGGGCGAATCACTAAGGTAATGGGAATTCATATTCGGTGAGTTGTTTGCATTTTGACGTGTATCTAGTCATATTTTTGTGTTTTACTGCTATTTAGTAAAGCCTTACTTTTTCCATATAGAAACAATATATTCTCATTATTAACAATCTCATGGTATTTGTCTCTTGATAATTTGCTTTCGCCATGTTGTTTATTCAAGTGTAACTATAGAGGAACTGATAGAGTTGCGTAAGTATCGACAGAGACCACAAGGTATCGAGGCTAAGAAACTGTCTAAAGGCGATCCAAAGAAAAAGAAGAAACGAGATGATGATCCGTGGAAGGCGAAAACTGGTGGTCTTGTTGATCGTGATGCTCTGAAGAGTGAAAAGTAAGTTTATATATCCGTTAGAGTTTATCGTAAATGGGACATCATCGGGAGACGGATATTGGTGTATTGTGGATATAAAAGAATGTGAAAGAAAGTGAAGAGACGAGTCGTCGTGTTTTAGTACAAACACACGCAAATGCTCACTTTCTTGTCTATATACATTGGGTCTATGTAGAGAAGATGAATCCGATTCTGAGCAGCGCAAAATTATGCTTGATTCGTTCACTAAACAAACAAATGTCCTCGATGTTGATAAGCATATGTAAGTATGAATATTTACACATCACATTTTTGTTCATGTCTTTGTTACTAGTTGCTTGCTTTAACTTTTGAGTCCCTTATTAACTGACAGGATGGCATATATAGAAGAAGAGATGAGCAAACGAAGGGGACAGGCATCTTCAAAGAGGGAAGAGGACGAAGATGCGCCTCTGCCTAATCCAGAAGATGAACTATTTCAGTTGCCTGAGCATTTGAAGGTGCATATTAAATGAGTAGTGAACAACTTGCGAACGGTTTGTGAGTTATCGTTAAATAGCATTGCGCTAATTCAGTATGTTCGTATTCGATAGATTGAAACGAAGCCGATATCAGAGGGCAATGTTCAGTTGTCTACGACTATGTTGACTGCTATACCCGAGGTTGATCTTGGAATAGAGTATGCTAGATATGCATAAATGTAATATACGACGTACGAAACAACGTCATTGACTTTGATGTTTACTATTATTGCAGTGTTAGATTAAAGAATATAGAAGACACCGAAAAAGCAAAAAGGAAGTTATTGGAGCAAAGACAACACAGAACGTTGAATGAACCGGAAGAGGTAAATATTATCTTCTCGATTTACCTTGTTGATTTGCTTACAGTTTATCGCAACGGTTTAATTATTTGATGGCGATAACTTTCTGTATTGATGTCAACAGTTCAGTGGTATCAACCATGCTGCTACAAATCGATGTAAGTTGATAGTTACTATCATTTGTTTAGCAATCCTGATTTTCTAGACTTTTGATTTATGTGACTGATGAAAATTCTTGCTTTTCCACATCACAGTCTATCGTACGCGCCCGCCATCAAAGGAAGTCGACCGCGTTCAACCGGATCAGTCCGATAAAGTGTCACAACAGAAGACGGGAGGGAGACGAGAAATGGCAACAGATGATATAGTAGCTGAACGATTCAAAAAGAGATTAAGACGATAGTAAATGTGGACAACACTATGGGATAGTAGCGAAACAGACAAATAGATTTAACATATTCAATACATTGGCTAACAAATGTAATATGAATCATTCCCAATAGATTTATTAATACATAAATACATTGACCATGAATCGATTGTATTCTCTAACTATTGCTTCAGCCACTCTGCGTGATCTAGGAGAATCTGTTTAGCATGTTATTCGAATAGATTCTGACATTTAAGCGCCAGCTTTTCTGATTGCGGATTATTGGTTAGCACGGCTTTTAATAGTGGAGTTCATAAATAAAAACTTCCTTGGGTGCAGTCATTATATAAATGTCTTTGGTGAAGAATGGGCTTATTGACGGAGAACTAAGCCATTGTGAGTAGCTATATAGCGAGCTGGAAAAGGTATCCCATTAAAGTCATGGAGAATCAATAATATGGCAACAGAAAATTATGATACGGTATTTATATACTGTAAAGTCCATTGTCGAACAGTGTTGCTTAGTACATACTAATATATCAGATATGTGATACTTGTCAAAGCCTTCATATCAAAGACGACGAAAATTAAATAAATCTATCGTCTACATACATTTACGTAAAACGCACACATCTACTAGAAGCAGTTACAAGGCATTCCTTAAAAAACGCGTCGAAATTAATCGCTCCTTTTTCCACTCATTAATATTCTTCGACTAGGAAATTATTGTTAGTTGTTATTTTTAAGTTAACGATAGCGTTACTCCGTCACGAAAAATGAGTGATGCTCTGCGCCTGTCACGCTCGCCATAACAATATCTGACATATTACTTACTATGTAGTTTATTCCCAATTTTCATTTGCAGTTACTTCTGTTATTATTATTATTATTTATTTCAACCTTTTCTCTTTGCTTCTACCTATTCTATAAATAAAAGTATAACCTTTGTGCTGTTGTTCAGCCACTCTTTCATACAGTTCAACTACCTTTAATACTAATACAAGTCAAAAATATATTGTGCATATTAATATGCATTTCCATTCTTCAGCTAGATAATCACTAATTTGATGTCCACATTTGATTAAACAGATTTACTATGTAATACTGATTAAGATTAAATTGAGCACGAGCATGTCCTTGTGCAGCAGCTTTTTGATACAATTCAATTGCTTTTTGTTCATCTTTTTCTACTCCAGTTCCATCTGCATAACATAGAGCAAGAGTATATTGAGCATCAGCATGTCCTTGTTCTGCAGCTTTTTGATATAATTTAAATGCTTTTTGTTCATCTTTTTCCACTCCAACTCCATACTCGTAACATGCAGCAAGATTAAGTTTAGCATGAATATGTCCTTGTTCAGCAGCCTTTTGATATAATTCAGCTGCTTTTTGTTCATCTTTTTCTACTCCACTTCCTTCTCTATAATGCTGACCAAGATTATATTGAGCCTGAGCATGTCCCTGTTCAGCAGCTTTTTGAAGCAATTCAATTATCTTTTGTTCATCTTTTTCTATTCCAGATTTGGTAGCATAACTTGCAGCAAGGTTATATTGTGCAGCAGCAAGTCCTTGTTCAGCAGCTTTTTGATAAAATTCAACTGCTTTTATTTCATCTTTTTCTACTCCACTTCCCATATCATAACATAGGGCAAGATTCAATTGAGCAACAGCATGTCCCTGTTCTGCAGCTTTTTGATACAATTCAACTGCTTTTATTTCATCTTTTTCTACTCCAACACCATTATCATAACATAGGGCAAGATTAAATTGAGCATCCACATGTTTGTGTTCAACAGCTTTTTGATACAACTCAATCATTTTTTGTAGATCTTTGTCTACACCAGTTCCATTTGCATAACATAGGGCAAGGTTATATTGAGCATCAGCATGTCCCTGTTCAGCTGCTTTTTGGTACTCTTCAACCACTTTTTGTTCATCTTGATCTTTTTCATTTGCATGACGCATTAATATAGCAAGATTATTTTGAGCATGAGTATTTCCTTGTTCAGCAGCTTTCTGATAATATTCAATTGCTTTTTCCTTGTCTTTTTCTACTCCAACTCCTTGCTCATAACACCAACCAAGATTATTTTGTGCATCAATGTATCCTTGTTCTGCAGCTTTTTGATATAATTCAACTGCTTTTTGCTCATCTTTATCTACTCCAATTCCATTAGTATAACATACAGCAAGATTATACTGAGCACGATCAAGTCCCTGTTCAGCTGCTTTTTGATAATATTCAGCTGCTTTTTGCTCATCCTTTTCTACTCCAAATCCATTTGTATAAAATATACCAAGATTACATTGAGCATCATCAACTCCTTGTTCAGCAGCTTTTTGATAATATTCAAATGCTTTTTGTACATCTTTTTCTACTCCAACCCCAAGATCATAAGATAGAGCAAGATTAAATTGAGCATTAGTATCTCCACTTTCAGCAGCTTTTTGGTATAATTCAATTGCTTTTTGTTCATCTTTTTCTATTCCAGTTCCATTTGCGTAACATACAGCAAGATTAAATTGAGCACAAGCATTTCCTTTTTTAGCAGCTTTTTGAAAATATTCAACTGCTTTCTGTTCATCTTTTTCTATGCCAGTTCCTTTGGCATAACATGTAGCAAGATTGCATTGAGCACTGTCATGTCCCTGTTCAGCAGCTTTTTGATAATATTCAACTGCTTTTTGTTTATCTTTGTCTACTCCAGTTCCATTAGCATAGCATACAGCAAGATCGTATTGAGCACTTTCGTGTCCCTGTTCGGCGGCTTTTTGATAATATTCAACTGCTTTTTGTTCATCTTTGTCTACTCCAGTTCCATTAGCATAGCATACAGCAAGGTAGTATTGAGCCTCAGCATCTCCTTCTACTTTTTCAGCATCTTTTTGATGTAATGACAATGCACTTTGGTCCCTCTTTTCCATTCTTATTCTATATAGCAATGAAAATTTCTTCAATACCAAAGAGTGTATTAGTGTCACATGAGAACAAGGCTCGACTTATTTTTCTGGAAAAGTCCTATCATTGGACGGTTGCAATTAGTGACATCAAGTACAGCTTATTATGGAGTGACTATCGAATTTTGTGTCGCTTAGCACTTGTGGGCATATATTACGTGGAGGTGGCAAGAATTCTTGTTGTTACAAAATAATTATAATGCGCTCTTATGTTTTCTTTGAATAAATACTGTTATTGAACCAAGTTAGTGATTCGCATATTTGGCTCCCTTTCCCGACATAAACCCTAAAGCAAAAACGAGAATACGGAATAATTACATCTGCATCAAGTATGTTACTGCAAGATTTTGGTACAGCATCAAGGTAATGATAGCTTTCATCGCCGCACACCCAACCAACCTATCTTCATACATTTGAAGTTGATCATAATTTGATATATATTCTCATTGATGTAGTGTACATCAAAAAAACAAAAAAAATAAGATTTTTATCTAATAATATTCTCGTACTGGATTCAAAGTATTTATAGCGAAAGATTCTTAAGGACGAAGCGTAACGTTTAGACACTCTATATAATACGCCCACATTAAATAATAGTCGTAATTGAAATGTCTTTTCTATGACAACACAAAATTTGCCGACTCAAGCAAGCTTCCAGCTTGCATCAGATACTTGTCCAAGCCTATACAATACTTCTTGCGTGCCCTTGATAAAGGTCGTTCTGTGGTATGGTATGTTATATTTTTCACAAAGAAGTTGTATACTAGGCTGAACTTTGTGGAAATGATGTCGTGGCATCGTGGGGAATAACTAATATAATTTATGCGAAGAGTTAGCGTGAGAAAGAAATGCACCAACAGTCGTAAAGCCTCTCAAAAGAATCGAGCGGCTAATCGCTTTACGGAAAGAGAAACACACAATCCTAATTACTTACATGATGCTCGATCTGATAATTTAAACCTCCGCAGAACCAATCAATACACCACTGAAACGACGGGTTGCTAGCTATGACATCTCTTCCAGTCACTACTTGTTGAGCGAAAAAGTCCATCTTATGAGATTCTTCCATGGTGAGAATTTTCATGCCATTGTGATTCAACGCGAAGACTAGGGCAATAAGTAGTCCGCCCATTGCTTGTGACGTGAAATAGAATGTCAACGCTAACCAGGTTTTTGGTACAAATAGGTATAATGTAACAAAATACCAGACGTGATGTACAACTAATCCAATAAATTCTACGGGAGTTACTGGCATGCGTGGGTCGTTTTCTTTTATTTTCTTCCAACCTGGCAGAACAAAGAGGAGACTTTGAATGCACCATGAGATGCGGGCAAAATGCAATATTGGGAAATATAATAATGGCTGGTATTTGACCAAAAACCGGGAAACTTCAGGCGAATATATAGTTGGTGTCGCAGCATCATCGGAAGCAAATAGATCTGACAGAGCGTATTCAGACCAGGTGAGAATAGGGTGAGTAGAAATATCAGGATCTTGGCCATGAACATTTGGTGAAGCGTGATGTGTGTTGTGCTTATCCTTCCACCTACGCGTGCAAAAAAGAATAAAGAATGGTTATTACTTGTATGATGGAGAGGTTAGTTTGCTCATGTTAATGGAATGTTGTTATACCAACTAGGAGAAAACCCCAAGCATATTGCTCCAAGGAAATGACCCATGACGTTATTCCATATTCTCTGCTCAAACACCTGATGGTGCAGGAAATCGTGTGACAGCCAGCCGCATTGTTGCCAAAAGGCGCCCATGAAAAAAGATGATAGAAGCACCCCTGAGAGTGTTCCTCCGTAGCGAAACAATATGGAAAGCGTTATGGCCAAGATGCTAAGGTTAGTTAGCACCTTAAACGTGTAATATGCTTTAGAAGATTTAAAATAACCAAGCTCCTTGAATTGCTGTTTAATATCACGCAGTTCTGTCGTAAATCCTGTATAAAGGTATTTTCGGCATTATGGATCGGTAATTCGTACAGACGTCTAATAAACTATACAAAAGACTAAAAACCTTTCTTGGTAGTGATCATATCATGGGCTGCAATATCGCCAACATAAAAGTTGGCTAGTATCTCGTAAGCACTTTCTGGATGGAAGTTGCTAAACGCATCTTTAAAAGAGTTATCTAGTCAGATAAAAAACTTCCAATTGACGCAGTAAAAGTTTAACGTAATGTCAACCTACCGGTGCCATCCTTGCCTACGTGAGTCAAGATCACGGCCCCACCAGGGTGGTCACGAGCAAAGTCTCGGACGTCATACACCTTGTTATCAATTACGACGTACCAGGGCTCATCCACGCTGTAATCCGTTTGATTTTGGCCATGATCCAAGGATTTCACAATGTCGGCGCGACGAAAAGTTTTGGGACCTTTACTATCTATACGAAGCAAACGCTCATGGATTAAACAAACGAAAATGACGCGGAAACGAAGAATAGCAATCAATGAGGAATACCGTCGAGAATCAACTCTGAAGTGACATTGGGCGGCATATTCCTCAGCTAGGACAACGATCTCTTTTGTGGAAGTCAACAAACGTAGGAGCACACTATCGAGTATTATTGACGCTGTATATAATCGACAGACGTAATGCAGAACCATTCGTAGTTTAATAACGATTCGCGAAGGATATCAGCGTTGGGTCGAATTGTTAATTTTTATTGATAATACCTACCAGTCCTTTGATCAAGATGTATCAGCAAAATGCCGAACAATATTAAACGTTGACTATATATAAAAAATTTTCATGTCGCTGTATGTATTGATAGGGAGAATATGGACAATCGGAGATGTGCTGCTCCAATTATCTGTGGTGTTTTCAATTGAGCCGTGTTTCCATTTTAAACACCCACAATTGGTTCTTCAAATTAGGGTAAAAGCGAGAAACCAAACTTGATCTTTGTAATACTTCGTTATAGCTTGCAAAGTTTGTTGCCGACAAAGCGTCTCCTTTTTGGATCAATTACTTATTACTAAATTACACAAAGTCTCAAATATGTACAAATTAATAGCGTTCTGAATTCATGTGTCATTCTAACATGTGGTTTTCCGCACATTGTCCCCAAAAGCTGTGCGTACATGCAAGAATATGCAGCTATCGGAACATTTATGGACATTCTTACTGGCTGGTGTTACAGACACATTCATATGAATTTGTTGAAGCCTAACCCACAATACTAAACAGGTTGCTGACCATGATATTATACGCATCGCGCAATCAAATTGAATCTCAGAATTCATCCTCCCCAAACCCGGGACCATCAATAATAATAATACACTAATGCCTATATTAATATTAATATTAAATGAATGGCAGGAATCTTATTATTATCGCCAGTATAATAAAAAGCTTGGGGCGTTTTTTGACATTGATCGCCCCAAATTTCTATCAACCAAATTGTGAGGGGTTGGAATACTTTTTCCGAATGGTCACTGTTTAGACCTGAACAAAGTAAAAAGTCTCATGTTTACTATATATTATCCAGCTCGCTATATCGTATATTGACAACCTTTGCCACATCCTCTATTGAATGACTTTTTTGTCGATCAATTAGTAAAACGTTTTTCCCAAAGAATTTCCATTGTCCACTGTAACAAACGACCGAATGGCGGTGTATACCTTAAACCCTATAAAAGTCTTGTATGTGTATGTGTAACAAATAATTTGATCAAAATAACATTTTAATTATATTACACCAAATTGCGCCTCTTGTATTGCGCCAGCTTTGTTATTATAAAATTATTGGTGTCTGTAATACTGTAATAGGTAATTCCTCAATAAAGAGGTTGATCCATTCAATCGATTAATAAGGTTTAATAATAAACCACGGTTCTCGTAGTCCAGATAGAGTGCTCTCAATCAATCATATTCGATATCCAGGAAAACACCGCATTTAATATTAATGGCTGTCATTTCTGATTTCCGTATATTATTTATTTAGACGTACTATAAACGTCAGATCATCAGATCGTGGTTAATATTAAACTATTATCTAGCCAGCCCTGCCCATTCCAAGCTGTCTTCTATGTAAAGTTACCCCTTTCTAAAGGAAAGGTTTTGTTGATGTCATAGCAATAGATCAGAATTATTCAAATCGCTCTCTGATATTCCCATTGCCCAGATTCTCTTGTCATATTATTGTTACTACTAACATTAAATACAGTGTGTTGCGAAAAAATAGCGCGCAAATAAACCGATGTATCTCAACAATTACGCAATGTTGAGCCAACTACCGCGGGAGGGCGTTAGTAATTGGCCTTGGGATTTAGCTCTTTCAATCGATGCTTGGCTAACCTCTACTCCTGCTTAAATTAGTAATACACTTAGTGACCTTAACACTGGCTCATAGTCCTCCAGATAACCGATCGATATACGATTCTCGATTGCTAATCACTCCGCAGATATTCTCTAACCTAAATCGATAAAATTAAATCCGATAGTCCGTAGGCTTCAACAGGGGTGATTTACACAAGCGCGCATACGTGGTTGGATAAAGTTTTTGCTGCTTGGCTTTATTTTGAAAAACTACATAATAATAATAAGTTTAAAATTAACAAAGCTATTCCTTCAAATAGTCATATCTTACATTTATATATTTTTGTACCCTCCTCCGTCAACTTTCAAAAGACTTATGATATTTCTCTTGTAGAATACTATAAATAATTGCCTCAAGAGCCCTAAACAGATTTTTGATCCTGTTATTCTTCCTTCCTTGCAAGTGCTTTCTTAATAAAAAGTTTACATGATACTATATCTAGATTTAGCAATAATTCGACACGTCTTGCTTCAAAAAATCCTATATCTCTTAGACGTGCGACGAGGCGCAGATTGTCATAGTGCAGTAGCACATTGCGGACAGGTGCCCTTCTCTTAATTCTAAATACTCGTAAAACGTCTGGCTGACCCCGATTTTTGTCACACCAGTATTTGTAATGCGTAAAGTTGTAGCTTCGGCGGGACGCATACAAAGCATTATCATAACGTCAGCAAGAGCTTGTAAATCAGGTAACGTCTTAAAATCATATTTCCTTAACTGATTAATGTAAAATGATCTGGGTAATCGATTTTTCGGTATTTTCTCCTCTACACTTTCAGAAGGAATTTCACGCACAAGTGAAAGTGAGTACCACGTAAGCCTCACCAAGGATATAGCTAGGGTAGAAAACGAAGCCAAATTACGCAAAAAATTAAGCGGGTGATGGAAGTCATTGTTTGGTTACTGGAGGATAGAGCTGACGTTGAAAAAGAGCCAAAAAAGAAAAAAGGCTAGGGTTCATCAATATCTTAAGAATAAATAGTCTGTACGTCAGCATTGAAAACTAACATAACGCAGGCATATTACATTGCATTTGACTAGAATATATTGGACAAAGAGCTTTCGTTACGTGTATTCTGTTTGTCTATATTGGAATGGTCTTCGATAAATAATCTAATTCATTCAATAAATTTATCTCAATTAAAAAAAATCGACTGGTGAAGATATAAAATTTTGATAACATGTACCAGCCACGTAAAGTGGAGTCTGTAGAGATTTATAAGAAAAATGAGCGTCGTTATTATGCAATATTTGATAACTGCATGCTAATTATAATCTAAAATACTTTACAGAATTCCTCGAAACCCACTAAAGGAATTCAAGATATCAATTAATCGAGAAAAAGACCGTAATAAACAACCTACGCACTTGAGACTTAAAATAGATGAACATCTAAAAAAGGTTCTTCCCGGTGCTTGTTCAAGTCACAATGCAACTGTGGAATCTGCCAAATCAAATCTCAATATTGCAGCAGAGAAAAAAATGCCTGAGCCCACGATTTCTTTGTCTTCAGAATTCTCATTAAAAACAAATCTGATATAGATATGCTTATCCTGCTTTTACAGCAAAAAATCCAAATATTGCGAGAAAAATTAGAACAATGGAGAGACAATATTGTCTTTAAATTTCAGGATAAGAACGCGAGAGTATGAGTGAGGATAATATAAGCGGGAATATGAAGCCCGCCTTGGTATTCCTATTACTGCATGCAAAAAAGAGTTAAGCAAACATTTATCGAATATGTACGATAAAGCTGTACACATTCGTGTGTAATCTAGCTAATTAGTATTTCTGGTAGAGTTAAGGGGGTTTTGTCGTCCCTTACAATAAGAATAAGAATAATTCCAATCGGAAGATAATTTTTTAATACCTATTACTACGTTTCGATTGATTGAAAGTTCAAGTACCAGTACAACCTTGTCATCTTTTATATAGTACAACTTACTAAATTAGCTGTTTCAAAACTTATGAATTTAGAGTTGGTTTACGGTATGAACGAGAACATACTCTTGTTTTTTTCTCTTTTCTTAAAGGTAACATCTTGTTGATTATTTCAAAAAATATTATTAACTTTGACTGACAATTTTTTTACTTTAAAGCATAATAGTATTATAGTTTCTTTCTACAGTGTGCATGGTTTCTTCTGTTGCAACTAGATGGCAGGGACCATACTAATATTAATAGAGTTCTATTTACAAACAACTTTTTAATTATTACCACTTTGTTTATTGCAGCAGCCGTTATGGAAAGAAGATTCCGTAAGTAATACATACATATTAATATACGTATATGAGTAAAGCGAGACGGAAATACGAAATCTGAGACTATTCTGTTAACAGGTCACTGAGTATTCTTGTATGCTCTGAAATACAACTTGCTTCTACAGCCATTACCAAGAGTTATGCAAATCAATGCAGAATTTTAAGTGCGATCTGAATTTGACTATACCAATTCGTTTGATTCTTCAAATACGCGAAATCAATTTCATCGTCGATAATCACTAACTCAACAACTGAGAATCCAATGCTCATATAATTTACACGTTTGTTAAGCGTAACTGCCAATGTATGTGCAAAAAATTGACACAGAACATACCGATTGGCTTAGTTAATCATCACGATCAGAATCGATATGAAAGTTCAAAGGCAGATCTTAATAAAGCTGCCATTCGTATGAAGAGTTGACCCAATTGCCTGCTTTCTATTTAGTCATACACTTACGCTGATGATTGATGACAAAATTGATTTCGCGCATGACTCATGTTGCGCGCAAATCTCGATTCAAGAAACCTACTTTGATACACCTACGATACTCCACGATACCCCTACGATACTTCACGATAGTATTAACAACATGTAAATTATAAGAGCATTGGATTGAGTTAGTATTATAGTCTTATCTTATTTATGTGTTTGCTCCGCAATAATACATATTATGTATAATGTTTAGAACAATCCACAAAAAATTTTTTTTTATTACGTTAAAAATGTGCGGATTGCTGTCCCGTACACATATATTTATTTATATTTATTTATATTATTATTATTATACTATCTCGATTAAATTTTTATTATCCCCTTTCATAACGTAAAACGGAAAAATAGATATATTAATCGTAATAGCAAAAAAATAAATAAATTGATATCTCTTGTCAAACAGAAATGGCGTTTTACAAAGCATACGAGACAGCACAACATTTGCCTCGTTTGAAAGCTTTGCCAATTAATTAGAAACAATTTACAACTTTTCCGGACGTAATGCTACAAAAACCGAGCTAGCTCTGCAAGCTAACTCCGCAGGCTAATTTCGCTGGTTAACTCCGCGATTATGACGCGAATATGAAGAGCACAAAGTACCATTTTTTCGAAAAATCGGAATAACTGATGAAACTGGAATTGCTTTGCAAATTGAATAAATCAATTTGTCGCTCCTAGGACGAGTATAATTTGATATTAAAGTTATGTAAAAAAGATAATATTCGCGGACTATCTTGCAAAGAGAATTAAATAAATTGAATACACGTAAATAATCATAAACATGGCACAACGGTTAGATACTCACCAACGCTAAAACAACGTTTGTCGTTATGAAGGCACCCTCATCTCTTGCGTTTACAAGTTATCCCCTCGCTGCGGGTAAAAATAATTATTTTTTGAATGACGACGCAAATGTAAATCACTCGTCATGTATTCGCCCGCAGAAAAAGAGAATGACAAAATGTTCTTAATCGATTTTTAATTTGAACACATTTACTATGTTGTAGGAAAGATCAGTTTAGTCACATTATAATACCGATCTTGAGCATGTTTCATAAATGTGCCACTAGGTCGATGAAGCCATTCAATTACTACATTCTGGATTTTTTTAGCAGAATTAATATGTTTTTTCCATAGACGGAATGTTCGCTGGATAATAGTTGCTGCTCGATTTTTTTTCATACAGAGTTACAAAATATCTACTTGGGTTTTAAATTCCCCAAATTCAAAATTATAACCTATTATTAATTCATACAGTGTTAGATTTGATTTATCTATACATGCTGCCGCCGTTCCTCATCACTTGATAAGGATATATCCATATTATGAGTTTCTAGTAATTGTTGTTGTTGATTCTGTTGCTGTTGCGGCTCTTGTTGCGGCGCAGCTGTTGCTGTTGCTGTTGCTGTTGCTGTTGCAACAACAGCTGCAATTGTCGCCGCTGCTGTTCTTGTTGTTGCAGCAGCAGCAATTGTATTTGTTCTTGTTGCTGCTGTTGCTGATGCAGCAGCTGCTGCATTACTTGTTGCTGTTGTTGCTGTAGCATCCAGTATTGACGTATTTCTATGTTGTTTTTGACTTTTTTACTATATCTAAAAAAATTTTAATTAATTAATTAATATTAATAAGTAAATAAATAAATAAATAAATAAAGTAATGGCCTTACAATCTTTTGACTTTTGTCCTAACTTCATTATCCCCATTTGTACTGAGATGGTACAGTGCACATTTCCATCTCTGGTGGATATCTTTATCCACTGTTTGATTTTTTTTGACAAAAAAGAAAATAAAGTTCAATAAACTCCAGTCGGTTGTGGTTTCGAAAAATTCCGTTTCCGACTGGTTGGGCATGTTGAAGTATATTCTCTTTCCTGATAGGAGCAACAAGACCGACTATATTAATAATAGATGCAAATGTGAAATAACCAAACTATCGGTACGTAATTTCGTGCCACTTGCCTGTTCTTGGTAGTTTCGGTATAATCGGTTAATATTAGATCTGAAAATAAAAAAATTTTCGATGAGACTTGCCCAGCAAATGGTTGCGAAAGGGGAGCGAAAGGGGGAAAAAAGGCCTTGAAACGCAACAAGACCGACCATATCGCACCGGCTAAGGGACTTTTAAGTATAGACCAGTACTGACGAATTACCGAAGTAAAACCGACTAGACACCTACAGCGCCCCGCCAGAAATTTCGAAGGCAGATAGATAACGAGAAAAACCGCCCTGAACGCATCAAGACATAAAAGAATATCATAGACCCCGAAGACGTAATAAGAGATAGAGAGGGAGAAAAAAAAAGTCCCGAACGCGTCGAGACAACCATGCCTTTTTTTCAGAATATTCGTGGATTTTTGAATGGTCGTAGAGTTCGTAGAGTTCGTAGAGAATGGTCGTAGAGCTATGGAAAGAGGGCTCTTATACAATTGAGAGAGAAAATTTTAGTTTTACTATTTTAAAATGTCTCCTGTTTAAGGGTTGCACGGAACGTTTTTATAATGAATGTACAGAAAGATCACCATCTCGAAAACATATACATATAATAATGAGAGATCATTCGTGTATATTAATATGTAGTCATTACATTTGATTAGTTCCAACGATTCCCAAGCAAGAATTTTTGGGTTTACGATTATTGTCTATTGTCTACACTCACTTCAATACACTTGATTTGCCACAATTACTTTGATTCAATCGCTTGATTTGTAGATAGAAATTTGCTATCATCATCCAGAATCTAATATACAATATCTTTCTATGCCGTACTTGTACTATCGTACGTAAGTCGATAGCATTCTTCCTCGTGAGAACGGTATATTGATTAAACATGGTCATTGTGTGTCGTATGTGACTTCGAACAAATGAGCATGGGATGGTAAATTAACTTTTTTGGCGTACTCAAGCATGCATATTTGTCAATCCTGATCGATATCATCAATTCTTGCATAAATTCATATGAATCATATGAATCAGATTATCATTATCATTATCATCATATCATCATCATGTAGTAGTTGTAATTGACACCTTATTAGCATTAGATCTTCATATTAATAAATTTATCCCATTTTTTATAAAGAACAATTACCAATCGAATCTTCATGGTCCTTGCATTGATGACATAGTATATACGTTTATGGTGGAATGCTATATCAACTCCACCATCGCCTCGTCCGGTACTGTATATAAAAAAAGTGAGTAGTTGTGTCATCATAGTCAAGACCACTGGCGACTTTCGCAAGCTGCGGCCACGAAGCGCTTTCAATTCAAAAGGTCAATGTATCTTATTCACCACAGCCTTAACGGACGAAGCAGCTTTTTCAGTAACGGAGATTGAACGTTCACAGCCATTCAGTCACCATATAAACATCAAGAACTATAAAGTATTTATTAGTATCCTATTCACCACGCCCGCAATTTCCCTCAAAGGCTTTGTCGGTAACAGAGCTTCGATATAATTTACACCTAGTGGCAGCGTAACTTCAGATACATATACTAAATAGATACTCGAAAATGGTGTCTTCTAGTTGAGATTTTCAAAAACTCCGATTTACACCCAGTGGCAGCGTAACTTCGGATACAATAACAATTCAACAACTACTCAGTGAGAATTCTTACCTTTCGAAGGGGACGTAACCTTCTCTTCGTAAAAGTGATTTGATCACATCTTCAAATTTTCTCCCTCTTTCGACAGAACTCGCCATCTTGATTACTTAATAGATAAAAAGTTACCAATATTAACATATTAGTTTGAAATAAAAGATTGAAACAATAGAACGTAAAGATTACCTTACCTTGAATGGTTATTTTGAATCGACAAGAGTGAGAATGAGAGAATGAGAAATTAGATATTTCATTTCAATAGAATGTTGGTATTATTAAAAGTAGACAATGGGTTTTAATTAAAACAAATATGGTATCTACTCAGCTTTTAATGTACGTTTTAGTCCATCAATTCTCACGAATATAACTTTCGATTTATACCGAGTCTAAGATCACGATTCGTTTTCAAGACTTCTCCAAACCGTTTATCCATATTGTAACCCAATTCCGAGATATGATTGATTTAGTAAGTTGTACATGTAGGTTGTACATTGAACGTTAAAGTTTGACTGGACTGAAAACGTCGTCGAAATGTAGATGATAATACTAATAGTTACACGTCTCGACCATCATTAATCTACCGATTTTCACACTGACAACTCGGCCCTGGTACTGGGAGCAGTGCTGTAAAGTCTGGAATCAAATTCCCATTCTAATCTCCCGTCGGGTTCCCGCAAGTTCCTCAAACATCTATTACTATATCGATTAAAATATTGAATTTATCGGATTTTCATCCCTCACTCTACGTTAGGTCTCAAAGAACAAAAAACTTTTCTAAATAACAAACACTGATCGGTCATATTCTCGGAAGATGAGCATCCTCTTTATTAGTTTAGATAATAATAATAATAATATTATTATTATTATTATTATTATTATTATCATTATTATTGCTAAGTCTTGGTTCTTCTAAACTCTCCGATAAATCTTTAAGCAAAATCGCTGATTCGTGTCCAAACTTAAACTATCTCAGTCTGGGACACAATGAACATATCACTGATATATCTATGATTGATATCGCACATTCTTGTCCCAAATTACGTTATCTTAGTTTGTGGTGTTGCAGTATTACAGATGAGACATTAAAAACAGTAGCGTATTCCTGTCCTGGACTCCAACATTTGAGACTGATGTCTTGTGGAGGTATTTCCGATGTGGGGGTTTGTGCGATTGCTACTTCGTGCCGAGATATTATAGATTTTTCTTTTGAGAGTTGTGGGGTAAGTGACATATCAGTTAAAAAATTGCACAATCGTGTCCAAGAATCCGAAGCCTCAATCTGGATTGGTGTTATATAACCGACGAGTCTATCTGTGAAATAGCAAGATCATGTCCAAGGCTAGAAGTGCTACTTCTTCTAAATTGCTTTATTAGTGATATATCAATTCATGAAATTATTCGATCATGTAAGAACCTGCGTAGTCTTGATCTCAAAAAATGTTACTCTGTTACTGATGAGGCAATCGATGCCCTTATGACTAGCAATCCAGACATTAATATTAGAGAGCCTTGAGTGATTTGCTATATCACATCTGTATTATGTAGGGCCTAACCCATTACTTTGTAATAAAAACCAATATGGTTATAAATCTTATGCTTGGTAATAAATTACAGCGAATGTTTAAGAAAGGAAATCGCTATATCAAAAACGATGATCTCGTATTAATAGGCAAGCATTTTGAGCCGAAATGGCAACTTGTGCAAAATAGCTTTCAGATCTTTGCGAATGCGCCTAAACCATATCGCGAAGATGTCACATTCAAAAGGATATCTCCAGATAAAATTCCAGATATAACTAAATTCTCTCCAGAGCGAAGTACAGTTGTTGTATTTGAGGATCTATGCGCCGAATCGAAAAAGGTGCAAGAACGAATTATTCCCTTATTTCATTAGTGGTCGGCATCAAAATATCTCTCCAATATATGTATCACAGAAATATACACAAACACCTAAAATTATTCGTGAAAATATCTCACACTTAGCCTTATTCCGAGGAAGTGGATCTAGAGACGACATTCATAGAATCGTGCGACAATATACGGTAATCCGAAAAAAGCATCTAAGATTGTTGATAAGCATTTGCGGGATCGAGAATTCGTGGTTTTTGATTTTACTAAGCCAGTTGATGATCCTTTAACAATTAGACTGGGCTGGGATTCCATTTTAAACCTTTCTGATCAAATATAAAATGAAAACCAAATACTCTATAAAAGATGCTTGTAAAATTGCTATAGAACGAAATGGCTTGTGTCTTTCGGATAGATACATTAATTGCAATACATCTTTATTGTGGAAATGTGCTAAAGGTCGGCTCCCTTTCACAGGATTAAAAATGCTAGAAAATGGTGCCCACATTGCTCAAAAAATAAATCTTACACTCTTAACGATGCTAAACGGGTTGCAAATAATAAAAATGGAGAATGCCTTTCAGAAAATTATATTAATAGTATATTACCATTGCAGTGGAGATGTGCTGAAGGACATGAATGGTATTCAACACTTAGAAACGTAAAATATTGTAATACTTGGTGTCCAGATTGCGCACATAGTAGACCTCTTACTCTTGAAGAAGCTAAACAAATCGCACATAGCAGGAATGGTGAGTGTCTTTCTACGATATTTGTTAATGTTCGTTCACCTTTGTTGTGGAAATGTGCTAAAGGGCATAAGTGGAGTGTTAGTCTTTCAAGTATAAAATATTGTAATAGTTGGTGCCCATATTGTGCGGGTACAAACCGTCTTACTCTTGAAGAAGCTAAACAAATTGCACATAGCAGGAATGGCGAGTGTCTTTCTGAGATATTTGTTAATATTTGTTCACCCTTATTATGGAAATATGCTAAAGGACATAAATGGCATTCAACACTTAAAATCGTTAAAAATAGTAACTCCTGGTGTCCATTTTGTCGTTTACATAAACGTGAAAATTTATGTCGTGAAATTGCATCTAAATACCTTGGACCGCCATCTGAAAATCGCAAGCCAGATTTTTTAAAAACATCAGAATATCCAACAGGGCTACAACTTGATATTCCCTATTATGATTACGGTTTTGCTATAGAAGTACAGGGGCAACAGCACGAAAAATATATATAATTCTTTCATAAAGGAGATCCCAATAATTTTATCAAACAGCAAGAGCGGGATCAACTCAAGAAAGAATTATGCGAAGAAAATTGGATCGTTTTAAGATATGTTTGGTATTACAAAGACCCATATATAGTTATTCCAGAGCATCTGCGAGAATTGGGTCTCATAGAATAAACCCAAAACTTTAATTACATTTGTGCAATTTATTTTTTTTAAACGTGCTTAAAACCAGAGTGAAAATCACATAAACTGGGTCTCACACTTTCACAGAAAAAATTATTACATTTTTTACATATATATTTGCGATCATCCTGAAGTAGCATAGCACAATACATATTGATAAAAAAAAAAACGCTTAGTAATTAAAAAATAAACCCAAACAGAATCGACCAGCATAATATGCAAGAAAATTTATTAAAAAATAAGCTACAATATCGTGTGAAGTGGTCCTAATAAATGTCGAATGCTTTTGTGATTGCAAATTGAACAAAGAAGAAGTCCAACGGAATAGGATCGGGAAGATTTTGAGGCATTTGGACAGTAGACTTTAAATAGAAACCTAAGATACGTAGCTTTCTTAATTGGATATGTTCCAATCGGTCGTAGAATGAGAAGTGGCGTGCTTGACTGCACCCGGCAAGTAGAGTTCCCGTAGCCATGAATGACCATTTAAAGGAATAGCGGTAATGGTACTCCAACCACATATCTTTTGATCCGAATAAAAACATCCTCGCTAATGAGAGTATGTTCACATCTTGATAGAGTTCTTTGCACCAGTGATGCGTGCAACAGATCTGAACAACTTTGATTGATGTTCGCTATCCTCACGCGTAACCAGCTTGCCAATGAGGACTGCACTGTAGGAATTCACTGATTCACCGTGGACTCTAAAGGGTGACCGTGGCTAATCATTACATCCATTTTATTGTACTCGCTGGTACAGCAAGCATCAGCAACAATTGGTTTACCAAACTGTTCACTTCGATTTACTCAATATCGCAACAGATATTTTTGATCTCATAGGGGTTTTCGAGTCCTTTATTGGTCACACGTTGGTTTGGGGGTCTCATTGGTATTATTATAATAATGACCCCGCAATAATCCTAGTTTTTGAGAGTAAACACTGAGTATGGAATACTCTGTTTAGGAGGAGGACCTTTCAGAAGTATTTAAAGAGGGGCTACGTTTAAACTTTCGAAGCGGGACGCCGCTCCTGCTAAATCTGCAATGACAACATTGCATCGACATGCATGTATTCTGACGGTGTACTGTATATTATCAAAGTGTTACGTTTTGGCACGTGTCAATTGATATTGTTAGTTAAAGAACACACACAGGAGGCATGGCAAGAAGAGTTGGATGGAAATTCAAAAGCCGTGTCTATTAATAGTTCGTCAATACAGCTCTCATTCGACTCCTTTCATAGAGCAAGTTTTTCGCCCTGTCCTTTTTGGGAGGGTACAGGAGTACTAAGGATAGTCGATATTTCAATTTTTTCTTATGAAAGTTTTATAATCAGACAAACTGTGCATAGAATCAGATACTGTATATAGTAAACACGATGAAAGTAATTCGTTGGATATGATGTGGCTGTGGTTACTATTACTCCGCGAGAGATTTTGCCGAATCGAGAAAAGACTTTCAAACCCAAACAAGGCATTTTATTGACGCTCAATGACGATTGTCATAATTTTGGTTATTTTCCTGGTATTGCAAGAAAAGCTATGATCCGGAAGGCTGATCCTTGACTGCGGCCGGGATAACAGCGAGGGTATTAATGAGGCAGCCTGCCAAGAAAAATAGCGCCTTTGTTTCACTATCCTTTTCAATGCTTGGGTCGCTGGTTTGCTGTGGAAATTCAACAGTACCGCTGTAAAGAATATGTACGTATCAAAATGATTATTGTCTCTTAATATATAACCATTCAATGGACGTACATCGCGCAATGCATCTCAGAGGCATTAAAGTCTTTATTTACTTCTACTACCTCGTAGCACACTTTACAATTACGTTCTACAACTGGGATCGTTGTCTTGATGAAGGATAGTATGCCTTTTTGCGATTATTTGACTTTCGGCATTGTTTACTTTGGCGCCATGTCCTATTATTAATGTAAAGCATGACGGTTATGTTATATCGTCTGAACTAAAAACAGAAGAACAAGAAGTCTAAATTACTTCTTACTATATTAGGCATTGCGAATTATAATAACTACAGCCAACACAGACGGCGCTATAAATAGTTACCGGACTATGCTTTTATTGGCTTCAAAGAAATTCTGATAAACACTAATTATTTTGTAACCGAAACGAGATTTTCTCCCATAATCAGCAACACGCAGAATCCGATTATTGTACGGCCGATAGGGTTTGTATCAAGTAACCTGGGATAAACTTGGCTGTTGCATGTCAACGACAATGCCTGCTTACCCATTTAGCGAGGTCTCTACAAAATGTTTCATCATCGAATTGCCTAAAACAGAGGGTTGGGTGCACAAGAATTTTGATGGAGGCACAAATTTAATGACCTTCCCAAAAACGTAATAGTAATAGGTACAGATCTCCATTAATTGAACGAATTAGAGACAAGAATTTAATATTAATACGATGTTTTCATTAATTACTAACTTAAAACTACGAGAGACCGTGTTTCGCTGATCACGACTTTATGTTAGTTTGCCAATGACAGAAGCATATATATCTAAAGTATTTAACTGGGACCAGAGGGACGCCTCCTTTATGCTACCTTCGACTCGTCGACGGAAGCTTTCAAGGCCCTTCATCGAACCTCTACCGTATAACCTAATAGCAAAAGACAAACTGAACAAACATCTATGGGCCTTTATAACCGTCATAATAATACTAGTTCTATGGCTTACCTTTGCAGTAGTACTGCCAACAGCGTTACATTCCAAACTCAAGTTGACACCATCGCGCCCGGCAATACGCAAACAGCGAGAATGGCAACTCCTTCCTTCCAAAATTCCCAATCGACCGAAATCCCTCATCGATGACGAAATCCAATGGGACCAATCCTTCTGTAAGCGCTCTCCGTGTCGTTATCTCTTCCCTGTCTTCGTCGGCGGAACAGAAGCCAATTCCCATTTTCATCTCCAACAGGTCGCCCTCCTTGCTGGGCGACTCAAGCGAACGGTCGTGCTACCTAATTCTGACGGCAGGCGATTCAGCGCATGTCGCAGATACTCCTTCGATAGATACTTCTCTAATGAGACATTAGTACAAGCACGCGCGCATTTTAGATTCATCACCCAAGATGAATTCTTCGGGTGGGCACGATGGCGGGTGACAGAGCCGACTGCTCAGTTTGTGATTATGGACAGGCCACCTGAACCAAATGCAAAGAAACCGCGAAGGTTCTCAGATATACAAACATTGAGCAAGAAGCAATGCGTCGATGATTATAGCTTTGATTATGATTCGTACGAGACTATTGAGTTTAAAGTGCAGCCCGGTTATGAACTGTCGAATGCCGCGACGGCAGAGGCTTACAGCGACCTGATTGCTCATTTGCATGGCAAGAAGGCATATGGAAAGAGCAAATTGTTTGAAAACAGAACAGCAGATGTATTATTAGTTTATTACAATCTGAGATCCCCACTGTTGCCTGTTCCAATTGAGGGTCCACCTTTGACGTATTTGGAATCCTGGTATAAAGAGACTCGTAACGTTATCGATGGTATTAGACCATATATTGCGGTTAGCTGGGGTAAGTTATTCATATCGTAATTCCGATCTTGTTGGTTGCGATTCCGTGTATCGTAAATATTAAATCTGCTTTTTGTTTATAGCTATAGACATGTTACCCAAGTATATTATCCCGGTCTGTGCAGAGCGGTTAGTTGCGCGTTTGGATGAAATAAAACGCGAGACAGGCATACAGAACATCTATTTGGCCACAGTACCTTCTCATTGGCGTGAAAATGTAGGATTTCATCAAGAGGCGTTAACATATCTAAATGATCATGTCAACTTTATTACATGGTCATCGTTCCATGAACAAGCTGCTGCCGATGAACAAGCTGAACTGGAGCGGAAACAAGCGTATGCAGGAAATGATCAGTTACTTTTATCCAATACCACCAGTGCTGCATCGTCAATAGTTGCTATTGAGAATGGAGATGAGGTGGATGAGATAGATCCAGGATTATTGACAATACTTAATAAACTTGTCGCGGAGCAGGCTAACTACTTTCTTCGTGGGACTGAAGAATGTTCTCGCATTACCCCATTCATCCAGCAAGTGATTGGAACACGCGAACAAGAGACGAGAAACCAGATTGACTGGAAAGAGAGCTTTTTTAACATTAATGAAGAGAAAATGAAGGAAAATGTGTTGGCTATGCGACGGTGGAACGTAGTAGATGTTTGGTGATATCAACTTTGAGGAGAGCAGAATCAGGCGATGGATGAAATAATACAATTGGATCAATATAAATTAAATTGTACTTTTTTATTGTAGTTAATACTGTAATATTTCACAAGTTAGTCAGAATAGCTGAATCTGGCTTGACGAATAGAATTTGTAAATACCTCATCATTACTGAGACTAATAGACTAATATAATATATATCTGCTGTTTGCACATGTCACTATATCACGGTTTGCTTTTTCGCTGTTTTACTGTTTTTCTTGTTTGAATATTTGCATATTCACCACATCTCTTCCATACTTTGATCTTATCCATAACATCTTCTTCAACCTCAAAGTTGATCCGTGATTGGCTTGCCCAACTCTCCCAAACCCTTGTTACATTTTCAACATTGTTTAATGTCAACCCGCCAAACACGAGACCACGTTTGTATACTAATTCTTTCTCATACATGTCGATTATACGTGTTGCGTACAAATGTGCCGAGTCAACAGACAGATCAGATATCACCAATGCATCGTCTATGTGTATTTTGGCAGACGCTGACGCTAATACTAGCTTTGATATTTCGTGTAATGCCATTCGCATTGATTTGATGATTTTGGTAAATTCGTCGAGCGATCTGTGGATGCGCGAAACATTATCCGCTATCTCACAAGTCTGTTTGTAGATGAGCAGATTAATGGTTTTGGAATCAAGGAACGAAGGTGGCTTTGATGTGAACGATAAAGTGGCTTCTCTCTGTGTTTCAATGTTTACTAATAATGAGAACACAGCACAGGATTGGGCGTGCGTTCTTGCCCATTCTTTATTTAGCTTGTCGATTCGCATGAGTTGATTTACGTGTTGTGGAATGGCCGACATTATGAACATTTCTTTTTTGTTGTTGTTGTTGTTGTTGTATGTAATTATAATTATTTATTTTGATGATCAATCACCTGACGACATACCCACTGCCGATCAGCAACGCGCGAAAACCAATATTTCTGCTTTGCATGCTCCCCTGTACTTGTTCTCACGTCGTCAAACATACGCGTAAATTCTCCCGCCTAACCTATTTTTCTCGTGTCGAATCCCCGCATATTACTCCGAGTCTATTTTATCAAAGTTCACTTGAATTATATTCTATCAACATGCTCAAACGCAAGGACCCACCAACTTCTGCAGCCGGGGCCGCCAAGAAAAAAGGGACTGATAAATCTTCAGTCCAGAGTTCTCTTGCTTTATGGGTCAAACCCTCTGTAGAGACGTCAGCAGACAAGTCGTTAGTGACGTTGGATAGCTTGGCAGCAGGACTGGATGATAACACCAAGAAATTGTTAAAGTTGGAAGTTGATACTATGGACCAAGAATGGTTGAAGGCGTTGAAAGCGGAATTTAGGAAGAATTACTTCTTGGAGGTATGGCACCGTGCGTGCGAGCTGTTGTGTGTCGTGCGTCTGGGTGTCATGTGATTTTATGACATTTACCCCCCCCCCGTCTACTTGCTGTGTAGCTAAAGAAATTTCTTGCGACTGATGCGAAATCCCACAAAATATTTCCACCCGGTATGTGAATACAATTCGATGCTTATAATATTTATACGAGTATGGCTAATAGTGAAATTGTTCTAGCTGAGGATATATATAGTTGGTCGAGATTCACACCCGTTTCGAAAGTTAGAGTTATCATCCTTGGTCAAGGTGGGTATCATTATCAACAAGTAAAGAAAAATCGGTCCATCGTTATTAATTCTTTTCCCCCTTAGATCCTTATCATAATGTCGGACAAGCGCACGGTAATTTATCGATTGATATTTGACATTATGTTTCTGCAATAGAATGAATACAATTAAATCAATCTTTAGGTCTATGTTTCAGTGTTAGGCCTGGAGTTACACCTCCTCCATCCCTGGTCAACATCTACAAAGCCATGAAAATCGACATCCCAACTTTCAGAGTACCCAAGCATGGGTTAGTAACATCTAGTTATTAATGTCCAAATTTTACCTTTTTGACAACTTGATTATCAAATTTACAGCTATCTTGAAAATTGGGCCAAGAACGGTGTTTTATTATTGAACGCAGCACTCACCGTTCGCGCGCATGATGCAGGAAGCCATAGCAAGAAAGGATGGGAAGAGTTCACTGGTATGATAAATAAACTTGTAGATTTGATTTATTACGACCGTGAGGTCATTACTTGTAATAATGTATTCTTGAATCAGATGCAGCGATTAATTACTTGAACGAAAAGAAATCCGGATTGGTATTCATACTTTGGGGAGGACATGCTCATAAGAAGGGAAAACGTATTGACAAGGTGCCCATTAACGACTAGTGGGTGATATTTCAGTAACGCGAAATCCGCCCGATCTTACACAATTTTCCCTCCCCCCATTAATAGCAAAAACACTTGGTATTGAAAGCACCCCATCCTTCTCCACTTTCTGCAAGAGGAGGATTCTTTGAGTGCCGCCATTGGTCACAAGCCAACGCATACTTGAAAAGTTTAGGAAAGGAGACTATTAATTGGGATTGTCTGGTGGATGATGATGATGATATTGATAATGAGATCGAACAACAAGATGGTGTGCAAGAAACTGCCAGTGCTAGCGATAAAGATGCGGTCGAGCAAGTGCCGCCAGAGGAAGAAAAAGCTGGTATGGGAGAAACTGCGAATGCTAATGAGAACAATGCAGTTGAGCAAGTCGCAGTTGTCAATTGATGGGGTTTGTGTGTGTATATATAAGATAATTCCTAATCACATGTATATATGTCACGTACCAAACCAATTCTCGCCTTTTAATGGTGAGAGAGAAGCGTCATCCATTGATTGATTGGTCTTGTGCTTTGGAACACCAGAATAGTCGCACACTTTCCTGTAAATATTTTACATTTGTTTTGCCGATTATATTGAAAGAAAGCATTGAATAAATACGATTTACGGTATAATAATAATATATATGCTATTCATTCGATTTTATTTATGTTTCTACTCTCGTTTGGGATATTTCCCGGTTGTCCAGATGCATTGACAATGGTCGCGGCTAGTGTGTGTCTGGAATACGTATGACAAACATGTAGATATGAGAAAGATAAATTTGCAACTGAACGTAGCTATGATACATCTGATTATGAGATCATGTTTAGACATCTCTAAGAGGAATTTACATAGCTACCAATACATCTTTAATTTCTGATTACAGTAGCGGTAGTAATAGTAATAATAACAGCGTATCAGTGTTTTTTTACAGCAGAAGTAGGTAATCAATCCCCCTCATATAGATACACACTAAAAATTATTAGTAGAAAGTTAATAAATAATGTAAAAGAAATAGTTCTAAAGATTGAAAATCATCATCAGAATTATTCATCATATCGATTGCCGTTTTATTTAGTCCAATATCTGACAAGTGAGATAGGAGCCTGGAGTGCCTTCTTGGCAGTTGAGGATTCGGCTGTTGGAGAGCCTGGTCGGCTATTAGCTTTTGCTTTCTCTCCCTTCTTTCTGACTACAAGCACTGGGCAATCAGCATTACGAACTATATATTCTGATACGCTTCCGATGAGATTACTATTTTTTCGAGTGAGAAAAAGAGAGAGAGTTTAGTCATGGATGCACGTTATTACCACAATGGTGTGACATGTACGATAATATTCCACGATATATCATACCGTTTCAATAGCCCAAGTCCTCGAGTTCCGACAACGAACAGATCCGCATGAGTATGTCCAGCGAGTTTGACAAGTTGGACTTTGGGATCTCCTTTCAGGATATAAAAGTTTGCAGTAATCTACAAGAAACAATTGTATGATACATGACGCTTTAGCACCTCCATCCATCCAATCAAACAAACAAACAAAAAACACGACCCAACAATCCAACATCAACTCACCCCTTTGGAAGCCAAATCCTGTGCTAAAGTCTTCAACATTTCAGATGCATCTTGGTGGTCAGTGAACGACAAGCGTCGGTTGGTTTTCCTCTTTTCTACATAGTGAAAATGGATGTTGTGATCAGTAACTTTCTTGTGATACATAAAAAGACAGTCCTATTGATAATAGACAGAACAGTATTGATTGCATATCTGCATCTATTCGTAAAGATTAATGTTATGACTAGCAAGCAAGTTGTTGTATATACTATATAATCATAATCATCCCCATCACTCCACCATCCTTGATAATTACCAGCATTCTGAGCACGGGAGGTGTGTGCAGATAACCAAGCGGATTGTTCTTCGTCTACTACAGTGGCCAAATGGACATGATCATGTCCAGGAATTAAGATGTTATCCAGGATATGCTGGTAGACAAACTAGTGGATAGATAAAAGTGGAATAAAGCATTGGATACAATTAGCTTGTTATTAGCAAGAAAGAGATCCGTTATACATTAGGTGACCCCCATTCTATAGACGGCTCCATAAGACATATTCATAGAGTGGTAGTTTGCGTGCTCTTGCATTACAAGTTGCTTTTATTTACCTTGCTGAAATCAGAGTTATCATAAGCTAGCAAGATTTTGCGACGACGGTGAAGTTCGAGTGGTTTGTCTGGAATAGTAACAACCATGTTTACAGTTTTTTATTTACAGATAGACAAATATATCTTGTGAAAATGTTTGCGTATAGAGGGTAAGTACGAGACTTTTTTTTTTTTCCCAAGTGTCGTAAGTTTGAAAATGCAGAGGGGAAGCTTTAGTACTTTTATATATTTGATACAGAAAGCAAATTTCTCGAGTAATCTTAGCCTATTATGGAAATATTAACATGATAAGTAACATATTTATAACAATACTTGTCATATGTTTGGGGTGTATGACGGACGATATTAGTAGGGGATGAGATGAAATCAATCAAAACATTCGATTGTTGCAAATAATTAGTCTTCTGATCAAACTCTTGTTCTCCGATGCATCTCGGTGATTGACATAAGTTGCGTGTGTGGCAGATGGAGTCGTTTTCTGATGATGCAATGCCGTTGGATGGTTGTCGAATGTTGTGGACATTTGGAGAATTATCTATCCATCGTTGGTCAATCTATATGACAGAGATGCGGTATATCTGCGGTATATCTGCATATGGTAGCATATTAATATTCTACCAACAATCTCCTGTTCATAGTTTAAGCGAGAGGGTTCAACAATGGTCACTGAACATTCTGGGCAGGTAATGTGATTTTGAGTCATTTGCTAGGGGTGATGGTTACTAATGGGGATCATGCCGTCATGACCAAGCGGGTTTGTAAAATCTAACTGGACGGCGCAACAACAGTCGATGTCAAGATACAGTAGTTATAGGTTGATTATCCTAATTGTCATACCTTGAGTCATGGTGTTTACTTCTATAATTAGCGTATTAATAAAATGTACATGAAAATGATATCATATAGCGACTGTGGAACTCTGCTGATTTACTCCACATCTTGTCGGCTATTAATTTATCTCATTGTTGATGATGGTTGGCGAAAACGTAACATTGATTGATACGAATGACGAAACATCGAGCACGATAAAAGACCGGGTAAAAAAAAAAAGATCTAACAAATTATATATCACGCAATTAATTTCCGGTTACAAAAAGAGATTTTATTACGTATCTCTAACATTCACAAGCGCGCACGCACACACACACACACACACACACACACATCTCGGTAATATATATCATAGGCAATCCTCGGTAGGATTATACAAGAATGGACATCGCTATGCCACGTGGGATTAGAATACGTAGTGGCTTGTTCCCATTTTCATTCTCTCGTTCTCTCACCATTTCAATTCTAATCCAAAGATGAAAAGCATAACCGACACAATGACAATGGTGCGCATTCGTTGTGCGTGAGGCATAAAATGAAACTTTAAAATTTTACTGTTTTCACCAAAAACTATAGTTATATATATAGATCGTACAAGATTTTCCACAATTCCCCCTCCCCTACAATCCCCACACTGTCAAATATATACTGACCTCTCTCCCCATTGGTTGGGCAAATAAAGTTCATGGAAAGAACGAGTGAATGGTGATGAATAATATGATGAATAATATATACTTGTATGTATAATAATAAAGTATGATAAATATATACATATATATAGCTAATACTGTAATATAACCTACATATATATATACATAACGCAACTGCACGTGTGGATGGCCGTAAGGAGGGGATCAAGTTGCAAGTAGTGAGTTGCAAGTTGCAAGTTGCAGGTAGTAAGTTGCAAGTTCTTTTTGCAACCTAATAAAGAGCGCATGATGTTTGTTGTAATATTTAGACCGATGTGTGATACGCTTATACCCAACTATAGTTCTTATACAATACATATACAGTATATTTAATTATTGTTCTTACAGCCTGTCGGCCTGTACAGCCAGCCTGCCTCTGTCAAGGTCGTAAATGTTATTAATACGAGTTTTATACAATCATTACAAACTACGATTGTTATTATAACTATATGATCATTGTTATAGTTATAATTAGTGCCAGTACCACTTTATGTTATGCAGTCTGACATTGGTCACCTGGATTACATTGCTGCATGGGAAAATCACCGAGTTTTCTCTTTTTTTCTTTCTTTTTTTTTTCCATTGGGAAATGTCCACACAGAGCTTATTTAATCTCATTTACGTTCTGCAGCTATTGGCGGGGATGTGGGTGGATGTGGGTGGAAAGGAGGTTGTTTACAGTTGTGAGTATTAGATTGGTTGGAATTAAAGTGGGAATAAATTGGCAATAGTAAGCATGTTATTGATAATGTGCGTAGGGTAATGGTAATACAGAGTTTTACTTATTGCTTACACCAAGAAGACGTTCTCACCAATACTGTAATATTAATATGTGACATGACCATATGAAAGTTGATTTAGAGTTTGAGTTGACACTGAATCATTACAAATAGGATTGTCATTATAAATTGCATGATAGGATAAAATCAGCTATAGCTGTCATAATAATGATGATTATAATGGGTGACGTATGCACATACATGCAAATAGTAATATTAATTGATGAAAATAGACTATATATGTTCATGTTCATATAATGTCCATATAATGTCCATATAATGTCCAGAATACCACAATAGTAAGTTTTCTTCTGTGAAACAAGCGTAAACAGCATTTGAGTTAGTCGGATGTTGTACTACATAGCCATACATGGAAAGAGCAGTTTTAGGGTTTGTACAATGTATATAGTATATTGAGTAACATTGAATGGGGGGATGGGGAAATGACGCATCGCATATATCATATATCGCATATATTGAATATATTGATATATTGAAGAATCATTATAATTGCTATTATTACTGCGGCAACCGAATACATAATCCCATTCATTGCCATTCAAAAGACCCGAACTTGTATCTCCCTCATACGAACAATAATGGATTCTTTGTCACTTGTTCTCTATGGAAAAGATGTACATAATAAACATATATATATTCTGTATACATATGCATAGATCACTACCACGACAAGATGATCTGCTTGTACCTCTGCCACAAGCCGCTACATGCCTTTGCTTACTTACACACGTACAATTTCTCTCTCTCTTTTCCCTCCAACCCTCTCGACTCGATTCTGTTGCGAATGACCAGCCAACCAAATACTATCCCACCCGCACATTCCCTCTCTTCCCATACAGGCACTAATTTAATATAACGTTCACCTCGTGATATAGATCAAACAAAAAAGTAGACTCCTTGACGATGACAACTTGCATATCGGAGTGCGCCGAGGCGATCGTTGCCTCGTTTAGAACCAAGAGAAGGGGGAAATGTGTGTGGGTAAAAAAAAAAAAAAAGAAATATTTGAAAAAAATTTTATTGTTGCAGAGTCGTAACAGCCTGTATGCCGAATAATGTGATAGTCAAGAGGATTCAAGTACCAAAGATGCAAAGCAATTATTCTTTGCATACATCGGACATTTTGTATATATAGTGTTAACCAGATTCTTTGTATTGTCTTTCTTTCTTCTTTCTTTCTTTCTTTCTTTCTCTTTCACCCCTTCATTCTTTTTCTCTTTTTTTTTTTTCCTCCTCGGATTGGCAGGACGTCGATATTATGATATCATTGGATAATCAGGGGAACAACAAGTGTATTGAAATGAATGGACACTGGGGATGTTTAGAGGTTTAACTAATGGGGAAATGCATTATGTGGAGTAAAAATTCACACTATTTTATACAATATTACAATATATACGCCATATTTATATGAATTACACTAATGTACATTCATTTGATGCGGTTGATATGCACTTGTTACATGTAGTAAATATTTATGTGTAGATGCATATGCACACACATATTTATTTCACACATGCCAAATTAGTGGGGATGGCATATAAAGATAATAACAATAAGAAAAAGTCGTCAATGAAAGAGGGGTGTGAGATTGAAAAAAAAAAAGTGAATAAAACAGCAACAGCAACAGCAACTACACTACTACTACAGCAACTACTACTACAGCAACTAATACTACTACAGCGACAACAGCGACAACAGCAACTATACTGCAATTACTACTACTACTTACTACTACATATTAACCAACAACATAATAACACCAACAGCAACGGGCAACAGTAACAGCAACAACATAATCGTCAGCTAATACTAACCTAACCCCAACACATCTATATATTTTGCTTATACATGCATTATAGGAATATATGGGAGGTGCATTGCATACTGTTTTGCTATTCTATTTTTATCCTTTCAATAAATATAAACCGACTATATGATATTGTATCTTTTTTTTTTCTTCTTGCTTTGCTTGCTTCTTTATTTACTACTGGCATCCAGGGTATGTAAACCCCCCTTCAACGTCATCGCCAAATCTGATTGGCCATCTTATGTCTATCTTAATTACAGATCATGTCAACGGTACTGTACAATCAACTGTCGATTGTCAACTGTTAGTTAATATGTACAGTATATTAATTAGTACGCCATAATAATTCGACTCGTAATAATTCGACGGACCAAAAACCCCAAGTAGACGGATATTCGGTGACAAGGTTTGTTCGCTAACAAGCTAAGCTGACTCAATCACCCAATTTGGCTAATTGTCATCATTGGCGCGCGCAGATGATCAAACTATCCGGAACTGTTTAGTGATCAAGTTACGCACCGGGATTATGATGCATTGTTTATATAACAGTATAAACTATAAACCCTTACTTGTTGTATAAAAAAAAAAAAAGATAACCGGATTCTCGATAAGAACACAAAATCTCGACATCAAAACAAAACTAGTTCATCTGATCGGTCGGTTTACCCCAGTCTTGCAGATTTTAAATCGATAAGAAAATATCACAAAATTAAACCCACCCAATATATATATCTCTTGACAGTGATTGCTATCGTTATCATTTGTAATTTTGTAATGCTATGCTCTCGTGTTACAACGCTAGTAATTCGATTGGATATCAGAAATTGCTTATATACACATATATGCAGAGTCTGTTTATCGTGTTGACATGCATCACGCTCGACTGGGCTATTTAACGACGTATCTTATCTAAATATACACAGTAGCAGTTCATCAATCCCGTTTTGTAAAAAAATTGCTCCTTTTGAACGAGATATGCTATTACGTAATTTACAGCCGACAGCCCGTGAAAACATTATGTGTACCCTCTGATAACGTAAAACAAATTTGTTGGGATACACAACAATAAGATTGTAGTACACCCCTTGGTTATGCATTCATTCACCTACATATTTATTTATATTTATTATTTATTTCTTTTTAGGCTGCCACGTAATCCCGTTAATCCTACCAGCTGCCAGGTTATTAATGCCAAGTATACATCAACAGACGCACATTGCACATTCGCATAACATGGCACTGCTTTAGGATTCTCGAGTTTCGTTTGCGGATGGTTGATGTGTTGAGCGGTGTTGTATTGTGTTGTGTTGGTGTTGTATGGTGTTGTGTTGTGTTGGTGGCGATGAATTGGCAGTTGGTTATTCAGGAGGGATTTACCGCTCGACAATCGACAGCGTTTTAGGCTTGTACAAGCAGGAGGTACGACATGTTAACAATAATAAGTGTAAAAAACTATATAACTATGACAGGATATATATGTACAGTATATGCGTATATTTATTGTTATATTGTAAATTGTAACATGAACACAAATCAACTGTGTCAACTGACTAAGAGTGGGATTTATCTGTCATATCAATTCGTTAGAGATATTCGTTAGAGATATTCGTTAGAGATTGTACCATCCATCACCTAAGCGTTTACCTAATATTTTACTTAAACAAAATTATACAGTATAGTTTTGTGCGTGTGTGTGCTGTAAGTGTGACTGTAAGTGACTGTGTGTACTGTAAGTGATTGTGTGTGCTGTAAGTGACTGTGTGTGCTGTGACTGTGTTAGGTTATTGTTTATTATTTGTTTCTTATTGTGTCGGGATAGCGGAAAATCAAGTTTTTCATTTTACTGTTTACTGTTCAACTGTGCCACTGCATGCCGATGCAAAATGTGCAACAGCTACTGCACAGTTGGATGAAATGGTGAATAGGCAAGCAGCTAGGCGTTGATGAAGGGAGAGTTTAGTGTAGGAGAATGAAAGGCAAGCATCGAGAGGCAAGCATCAGAAGACAAGCATCAAAAGGCAAGCATCCATCAAAAGACATATATTATCTGGTGATGGGTATGGACAAATAATAATAAATAATAATAAATAAATAAATAAAACAAGGTATTGCCCGTTGATGAAAGATAGATAATTCAGATAATAGTTCATAGATGGCTCGGATAATAACGATGACAGACAGATAACATGTAATATATTTATTATTGTAATCCAACAATAATCTAACAATCCCATTCCTGTATTCATGTTCATATTCATTTAATGTATGTGCAGCGGGCAGCGCACAAAGCATGATATCCCTGCACGTTTGATGCTTAGTTATCATTCACGAATGATTTTGTTATCACCAAAACTATAAGCAACAATGTTGATAAACTATTCGGCTGTTTATTTGTTTGATTACCTATGTATTTACTACATACTGTGTATATATGCACTTATCGCTCTTATCGCCCTAATCGGCATTATCAATGTGTTTGAATGCTTTGATGTAACATGTCATTTAAATCATGCTTGAAAACAGTTTACTGTTGAGAGAGAGAAAATAAAAACTTGTATCAACTGAACAATGTGAATAAGAAATTTTGTTGTTGTTGTTGTTGTTGTGTTGTTACTGCTACTGTTGTTGTTGTGTTGTTACTGTTGTTGCTGTTACTTACTGTTACCCATGTTACCCATGTTACCCATGTTACCCATCAACCAACCACCCAACAAACTAACCTCATGAGAGAGTGTGTGATGCGTAATATTATCTTATGCAAGATGATAATCAATATTTATGACAACGCATCTCTGTATACATGCAAATGTATTACTCTGCTCATGAATTGTAGGGAACGTTCATGTGAATTAGTAAAAATGGGAGAATGAAACACTTCTACGACATAAATAATATACCATCTTTGTGTCAAAGCTTAACATGTTTAATGAGAAAATGTCCATCTATTTAGACCGGGTTGTTTTGACATTCTCTACCAACACTTGTTAAATATGACGTTTAATCAACCACATTCTTTACTGAATGTGAATACTAGCATTGGTCGCTTTTTACTGCGTTCACAACGACAACCAATATCCCAATATCCCATATCCCATATCCCAATATAACCATAACAGTAACATAAACAATACCATTGAATATAATATATTGTATTATACAATTATACACCAGTTATACAGTTTATAAAAATCCACTATCTCTTATACACTGTCTCAAACAAATACATGTGTCTTTATCTAATATGAATACATGGATATAAAATATACGCACATAAATACATGTAGGTGGACATAAATTATACATACATGATTATAAATATACATACATACGTACATACAACATTCATACATACATACACACACATACGTACATACATACATGCAAATACTCGTTATATTATTATTTATATTGGCTATTGTAATAACAACAGCATCATACATCAATAATTTATACGGATAGTTTATAACGAGCAGCATATTTCTTCACACTTGATGTCGTGCAACCGCATATATTTTGGTTTATCGTGGACACAAAGCTGAAGGCAAAAACGCAGAGTCCAAAAGTTTACTTGGCTGGGAACAACCCAGGATAATGTCGACCGCCACTCTCAGCGAGCTACCTAGCCACCAAACAATGAACCCACGAAAACCCTCTATAGCAAACCTCATGAACGACAACTCAAACGACCCTCCTCCTTCTGGCCTTACAATAAACAACCTTCTCAATAACGACCCCACCTCCCACGCGTCCCACCAACCATACCATCACTCTCCTCAATATCCTCACCACCATTCCCCCCCCATACAAAACACCCAACAATCACAACGACCAGACTACTATTCTTCCCCGAGACACCACCAACAACAGCAACAGCAGCAACAACAGCAACAGCAACAGCAGCAACAGCAACAACAGCAACAACAACAACAGCAGCAGCAGCAACCATCTCAGCACATAAAACAAGACCCTTCATATACATCAAACGGTGTTGATAGAGCCGCCGCTGAAGCTGCCGAAGCTAGTAATATATTGATATTATTAAGCAACCAAAACAGCCCTTCTCAATATCAACAGAGAGAAAGCGAACGTAAAATGAGCGATGCCGAGTTAGTTGCCCCTGTCCTTGCTTCACTCTCGAATGCAGAAAGAACAAATGTATGTATACAACAACAAATATACTTGATGCCCTGATTTGTAGTCGAATGTTGACGAGAGCGTATCGAGCCTTTGTAATTGAATGTCCATTTTCTACTCTCTATCTGAACGTTAATGTTAAATGTTATAATCGGTTTTTTTTTTTTACCATCGTCGATATTCATCTTTTCGTTACTAACTGTCTTAAACATCATTTCGTTATTGCGCGTATCCAGCGACCAAATAATACCATGTCTATTGCCTCTCTCTTGGGTATGCATGCATCCACGACTGATTGATTTGTAATGGTCAAGAGGAGATATTAATACAATTGTCGTTTTTCCACTATTGTCATGTAGGCAACGAATCACCTAGTACAGAACAGATGCCATCGATAGTAAGTTTCGCGTCACAGAGTCCCTTTGCCTCACGCCCCATTCAGATTTCTAATAAGCCCTCTCGTCACTCACTATTTCTCAATCAGAAGAAAGAGTCGCGATACAATAGCTCGAATGATCCATATCAGGAGGGCGCAAACCAAATGATGGATTATCCTCAGTATGGAATAGAAAATGATGGTTTACCGCGAAAACCGCATAAACGACTGCCGGTAAGAAGGCATGATTGACATGATTTGATCAATCGATACATTGATATTGATTTTATATGATGCCCCCCATACTCTATCAGGGAGGTTCACCAATGTCGACAATGAATGCAAGAGTCACCCAGAAAAGCATACAAAAGCAACCGAAACGACCGTCACCAGAAACACCAGATTATCGTAAGTAATTTGTATAAATGCATGTAATCGCTCATATATACACGTATACTCGATATATCGAATAACACGTCAATGCTATTCATACGGTTAGCACATAGGAAAGTGCCCCGCACAGATGAAATGCCACCTCATACTGGTAAACTGTCTGAATTGATGGATCCAGCAGCGCCTGAAGATCGAAAACCAGTCGTATCACATCAAGGTATACATTAATCATTATGCTGTCGTCTACTAGTAATGGATGATATATATTTGTTACAACTTTGTTCAATTACAGTCGATTGGGAACGATCTTCACAATACGCACATGGTCGCCAATTGTCAAGCAGTCCCATAAGCGAACCCCACGCCAACAGATATCATCCTTCGCAACCAATTCCAAAAAACTCGTCGGCATTTAATGAACCAACAAAACCAACTAAATATGGCCCGTATGATAATAGATCGCAATTGAAATCGCCACCACAAGTGCAAAATGGATATCCTAGTATTGGTAATCACGTGAGTGTTTTTAGTTGTTGTTGAATAAAAAATTTGTTTGTTCGTCATTATTAACAGGCACACACATCCATGCACACACATCCATGCACACACATCCATGCACACACATCCATGTGAACAGCCAGACTCACTTCATCAACCACAAATGCATCAATCTCAATTACATCAAACTCAAATGCATCATCCTCAGCCTAATGGACTTTTGGGATCTAGAGAACCTAGCGCCTTTACAAATATCTTCCCCAAGAAATATCACGATATGGTATGTTACTCCATCCGCACCTAATTTTTATATCATCGTCTGGTGAATCATGGTGCTGATCTATTCCGTTCGAAACAGAAGAGCGATCCTAAGTTAAAGCGGAATGCCACTCATGCATATATCACATACATGATCTACACAAACAACCAAATGGTATCTACATTTTTCAACAGGGTGTATCTGTGAATGTCAACAGACGCTAACATGTTACATATTTTTGTCTCAGGAACGAATAAAAGATCCAATGCTGCCACAAGCACAGCAAATCGCTCCTCGGCAACCAATTCTGCACAATAATAATACATCGCCAGTTATTAACAATGACCACCACGTGGTTTCAGACTCTGATGGCCAAATGATCACACCTGGAATGTATGGATCGCGTGTCGAACATCCTAATTACCCAATTCCGAATCATGGATATCCTCACCCATCCGAGGTAATATAACCACAATCCTGACAATGGCTTGTTTTCATTGGTTGTTAACTGTTTTAATAACACGTGCGTACCACTTTTAAATAGCAAATACCTCGACGATCATCAGCACCAGTACACGCAGAGACACCAACACCAATCATTTCCAATCCACGCAGTCAGGTTTATAATAATCATCACCATCACCGCCAACCGCCGCCACCGCCGCCACTGTCAGTTAATGCTCCATCAGTCATGCAACAGCCGCCACCATCACAATCTCAATCACAACAACCACGACATTCAATACATCCGCATCCTTCTCCGGGTCTGTTGCCAGTACAGCAGCAAGGGCCACCGCATCCTCATGCGGTGAATGCTCCAACACCTAATCGTCATTATTCTCTCCCTGACATTCGTAATCCGATGAACGATCAACCACGCCCTCCGACACTATCTCCGACTTTACGTGGTAATCCATCATCTCTTCCTCCAATCCAACCCGGTCAAACGTCACCACTCTCCCTTCAACCGCATCATCACCATCACCATCACCACCACCAATCACATCATCCATCGCATCATCACCACCATCATCACACATATTCACATGACCATCCAGGCGCATCTCACCAATCGCATTCTATTCATTATCCTCAGCAAAATTCATCACAGTATATGCCTTCACCAGGACAACCAATAGGTCCTCCGGCTCCTCAACCGCCATATCGGGATTCAAAGTCGCACCCACATCAATCGTCCATGCCTCCTCAATCGCCGTCATTAAATCCATCCGTGTCTCGATCTTCTGCTCCTCCGGCTTATTTACCTCACATACCTCCGCAACCGGCAACCCGTCTTCCTTCGGTAAATATGCAATCGAGTGACCATAATGTACCGAATAATTCTCTCATGATGAATCAGCCACCATTGAATAGCAGTCCCGGATATGTGGGAAATAATCATCCGCATCACATGAATATGGGGAATGTCCAAGTTCCAGTGGGTGGTGCCGGCGTACCGTTAGGACCACCGATGAATGGGCGAGTTGGACATAATGGATATTATTAACTAATTAATAGAGTGTTGGAGGAAGAAGGAAAAAAAAAAGTGTGTTATAATCGATTAGATGTGTGTTGGCGGTCATTATTATTAACAGTATTGGAAGATTGTCATTATATAATTATTTCAGTGCCCGTCTATTAGTCGATGAGTCAATCAAATTGGTGATGTCCGAGTTATGTAGTTACTCTTCTTTTCCCTGTTTGTAAGATAATTTGCTTCTCCTTTTTATTGTACAGTTTGTTTCTTTTGTCAAAAAATTTTTTTAAACTCATTTATATTCTTTAGATGAATTTCTCTAGTTCAAATTCTACGAGACGAGTAGTTGTGGGTGATTTATTCTTAGTAGGAGAGATTTGTATCTTAGCTGTTGATCAGTGGTAATAGCTTCTTTTTTTTTCTTTTCTTTTCTTCTTTTCGGCTCCTTTTTCTACTTTTCTTTATATTTCTTGTATGCATACACGTTCACTTTTTTTTTTTTTTTGTAAACATGAAAAAAATTTTTTTATAAAAAGAAAATTCGTTAGAATTCACATCGATATAAGAAGTGAGCTGGTGTACATAATCACTATATTATATTAATATATACAAAAAAAAAAAAAAGGGAAATAATTGCAACACACCACGTATCATTGAAGTTAACATTGTCACTGCAAACATCGATTCATATTGTCTGGAATCCCCGGATTTTACATCCTTGATACCAACCGCATTTTATTTTTGTTTTCAAAGCTCTATGACTATAATCACAATTAAATATAAATACAAATATGATTTATTAATACTATAGAATATCACACCCGGTCCCAATGCTGCTCTTCTGGAGTCTTTTCTTTTTCCTTTCTCAATTTCTTTACGCCCTTCTTAGCATGTTTCTTGAGAAACTTCATTCCTTGCTTGCACCCACCACCGCAGCATAACATATAATACAATCTACCGCCTAATAGCAACGTAGCAAGGGTCAAGAATGCGGCACTGCACTCTGCAAGTCGAATGCCTGGGCCAGTGAATGAATCACCAATACCTGGTATCAGTCCAACCAATTCAAAAACCCATACAAACAACAATAGATCAAAGACTAGAGCAAGAACGTTCATGAATACAGCAACAAATAAAAACAGGGCGGCGATAGATGGTAGATTGAAAAATAGTAAAACAAGAGTGATAACATTGCAGATGAGCGCAAAGAGGTATGGAACTGAGAACAATCCGGTTATTCCATTAATAGCCTTTTTTGGCTGGAAATTCTTCAAACCATCCAACAACGAAGACAACAATTTCATTGCCTTTTGCGCAGCGTCAGCAGCAGCGTTGGCAGCGTCGGTTGCTACTTGTCCGGCCTTGTTTGCACCGTCTTCAGCTGCACCAGAAACTGCTTGTCCCGCATCGGAAGCTGCTTGTCCTGCACCGGAAGCTGCACCGGAAGCTGCTTGTCCTGCACCATTTATCGCTCCGCCAACGTCTAGTCGTTTGGTGAATGATGGAATGCTAGAGTTGTTACCGACTATCTCGGATGAAGTCGGCACTGTTGTAATAGTAATGTTGATGAACTATTAGTTACAGCGATTGCGAAAAAATAAAATAAAATATTTTTTAAATGGAAAACTTGATACTTACTCTGGTCAAACCGATAGACCATTGACGGTTTGGTGCATTTATCATCCACACAATGGCCATACAACGTAAAGGTAATCGAAGACTTCTTTGTAATGAACCTTATCGGATCGTCGAATACAAATTTGCTCAGGTAAACCGAGCCGCTTCCTGCGATCAATAATACAGATAACAGCAAAGTCGACAGTGCAATTAATACAGCACTGACACTTATAAGCGGGTTCTTTTTGATTGGACGAACGACTTTTCGTTGGAAGAAGGATTTCTTCTTTTTTGGTTCACGAGTCGGATCGTCTATCTCTGCCAATTTGGACATTCTTTTCTCAGACATTTTGAAGTTGTGAAAAAAAAGGTGATATGTAGGATAGAGGTATTATATGATGCGTGAATGTATGTATGTACGTATAGTATGTACGTATGTACGTATTTGTGAGTATAGCTGAGAATGCGATTAGGAATGAATCGTAAAGATAATGAATATCTGATTCAACAGGCAAGTCGCAAGAATGTCCACAGCCCGCTGTGTGCCTATATCTGTAAGTTAAAGAGATTGGATTTCAACCAGTCGAAATCCAATCTGAAAGAAAGTCTTGTAGATTGATCGCAACCGCGAAAGGGGGAGTAGAGAATGTGGATGAAGAAGATTTCCTTGGTGTTCAACACAGGAAAAAACCCCATCCTGCTAATTGCGCAAGCGTATTTAAGGTAATTGGTTTTTCGAGTCAAATGTTCTTGTTGTCTAATTACGAAATACAAACCATTGGTTGTCTATTGATGGTATTGTCTATAGAATGCATTGTCACAGAAGGCTGACTTGTAACAGCTTGGTGTTTGAAAACATAATCCTAAATGCATAATAGAACAAAGATAAAGAATTGGGTATTTTTAATATATAACCCAAAATTATTTCGGGCATGGCTGAATGCTGTGTCAGGGTAGAGATGCGGAGATGCGGGTAACAATCATTGATATCCGAGTTTGGCCAGCTTTGTTTATCGGGATGGATGGTCCTGTATCACGCCATAAGAATTAAAGTCAACAAATCCAAACAAGGATTGTGGATATTAATAGTGAAAAAACTGATGTTGTGTCCAGACACAACAAAAACTGGCCTCTTTATTAGTGGACGATAGAAGCGGGTGGGTTAGTGGTTCTTTGTCTTGCTAAATTTGCCTTCTTTGATTTCTGAAAAGGAAAAATGCAAATGAGGAATCGTAATGAGAAGAATAGGAAGATGATGGCAGTAATAATAATAATAAACGACATCATTAGTCCCCAGACTTGGCGCCTTCAAACTGGCGCAGTAAATCATCAAGTCGACAGTTATAAGAATTGTTGTACGTAAACATTCGGACAACGTAAAACTGTTACGAGCAAGTGCGTCGTAATATCATTTTGCCATTGCATAATACCCCAAATACACATCAAAAACAAGTTAAGTAATTGTGGCACATGTTGACTTTGTTCTTGTTATACGTTTCAGTATTGTTTGGCCTTGTACAGAGACATACTAAAAAAGGAGACGTATGAACATTTTCTTTATGTGTTTGACATTGGTTTTATTTTTATCAGAATGTTGCGATGTGCTTGACTTTTGCGTTCGGATAGACCAAGTGAAGAGCGCAAGGGGTTCGAGAAAGAAGAGTGATCCTGTAGGATCATTGTCGTCGATAATCCTGACATAATATCAGTCGCTGTATAAAAAGATAAAAGGTAATATCATTAGTCGATTTAGTCCATATTAGTGTCACAGAATTCGGGCTTTGCAAAGCTTTCGGCATTTGCATACATTAATGTGCGTACATATGCATTTTCCTTAAAATACAATTTAGATGCTTGTTCAGGTTTATTTACTGATTAACCAAATTGGGCATCGGGTCGGGTTTTTCACTTTAACCATATTTTGCAAATGACACATTCATGTTGGTCACTCTCTGAATATAGCTCCACAGAAGGATTTCGTAAAGCGATCGGCAATACAATAGATTGGGCTGCGGCTGCGGCTGCTGCCACTGAAATTCCGCTACTCCCAGCATTCTACGAAATAAGATGCGTGGTTTGTAATTTACGGTGCCATTCCGATACGCGCCCTCTTATCCATTGGTCGCTCTGGCAGATTTTTCTTTTCTAGTAAGATAGCCTGCTACTTGCCAAGGTTTTAAGAGGGAATTTTTACCCGAACAAGGGTCAAAGATTAGATTGTTCGGCTATTTCGGATCGTAAACGACTCGAGTTGGATTATCGGTATATGGTGGCAATTGTGGAATGTCACATGATCAAAGTAGTAATCATGCCAACTTGCAACCTAATTTGATAATTACAATGCCTTATGAATAAATGGGGCAGACTGCAACAAAACCAGGCAAAGTGAACATTTGATCATGTGATAATGAGCTAAAAGAGGCTAATGTGGCTGGAAATCAACTAATTTAGTGGGTAACATTTTTATATCTGTGGCTTATGCTCAAATCCAGACTATTTTTTCAAGTGTCATTTTAGTCCTATTTCTATGTTATTATTATAAGCAAGCAACTAGTATTCATGTATAAAAGCAAGATGAATTCACTTTCACCGAAACAAATACAGTCAGACCTCTCTAAATGCAACCTCTCTTAATGCAACTTTTCTCTAAATGCACAGCATTTGCTTGGTCCCATGATGGGACTTAAGAGATAAGTGCACATTCTATGTTCTGCAATTGCAAGCTTTCTTTCGGCCCT